AGGCCGTAACTTGGGCTAAGTCCCTGAGGTGGAAGGGGGACCGATGTTCGTGAGCTAGAAGTTCAGCCATATAAGATAAAGCAGTAGGGTGAAAGGAGGTTCTGTGGGGCTTTGAAGGCCATGGTGGGAGTTTCGATTTTCTCTACAATGGAAAAATATTCGCATTATTAGTACACAGTGAAGGCTTATAAGCAAGGGAGAAACACAGTAGGCCCTGGTTCTTTTTGGAAAATGGATAATAATTTGGATTATTATTGATTATATAGTTGAATTATTGATGATGGTTTGAATTAGGGTGGTGGTACTGGAGATTGAAGTTGAAGGGTTAGAGGTGTTTTTAAAGATTTGAGAAGAATTATTGAAAAATTGAATGTAGCAGACAAGGAAGAGTAAACTCTCACAGGTAAATCTTAGGTTTCTTGAGCAGTGGAGTGGATGCTGTGCCACTGCTGAAATGGGGAAGAATAGGGTGCGGAAAATTAGATGAGGATGTTATTGTTCGGGGGTGGTTTGCAGTGGTCATATAGTTAAAGAATTTTATTTCGGTTCTATTAAGTGTAAGGTGTTTGTTAGACACCTAAATGAAGTTTCAGGTAGGCAGTTAGATACAGAAGCCTGGAGCCCAAGGAGATATTCCTAATGGAGAGATAATTTGGGAGTCCAGCATAAAAAGCCATGGGATTGCACAAGATCACCTAGGGAGAAGAGAGAGGGGAAGACTTGAGGAATGCCAGCATTTAGAAGTTGGGTATTGAATGGTCATTACTTTCAAAGTGCAATGCTGAGCCTGCTGAGAGGAGTCAGGATCAGTCATGATCAGTCACCTGTCCCTCTATGTCTGGGAAATCTCTGCTCTTTTCCTTCATGAGGCGGAATTGGGCTCTTTCAGCTCTGTGGCTCTCTGAACACTTTTTATATACTTCAGTTATAATGCTTAACTATGCCATGTTTTAATTTTCTGCTTGCCTGTCTCTATCACACCACACTTTGATTTTTTTTTGTATATATTTTTAAAACCCATTAGCTCTCTAGCAGATAGTATGTAGGTATGCAATACATTTCAAGTCCAAAGCGTTGTTATAAGAAGGTCATCAAAATGTGCCATAGGAATAAGGAGAATCATTTGAGAAAGAAGGCATCTGGAGGAGGAATGATAAGAATTGTCATTTAGGCTGGATTTGAAGGATGGGTAGGATTTATATTGATAGAGAATGGCTTTAAAGTTTGGCTCCTGAAAAAGAACAGTGAGGGAGTAAGGTTGGCTTCAGTGTGGTATTGTGATGTGGGTAAGTTAGGACTAAGTTTTGAATGGACGTGAATGCCAGAGTGAGTTTGAAATTCTTCCTATAAGCAGTGGGAAGCTTTTGAAGGTGTTAGAGCAGGGAAATGACATGAAATGGCTGTGATAGTGGAAGACTAATTGGGCAGCAGGCGGTGGATCATAGCAGACTGGGTCTAACGGCAGAAAACAATGTGAGCGAGAGATAGAGTCTGAATGGGGTAGTAGAGGGAAGGGAAAAAGAGGAGACAATTCCAAGACACTGGAGTGTGATGGTTGTATATGATGGTACAGGGTCCCCAAGCAAATGCATTTTGCTAAGTGAGAGAAGCAAGACCCCAAAGGCTGTATATTGTCTAATTCCATTTATAGGACATTTTTGAAAAGGCACAAAGCTAGAGGGTAGAAAAAAGATCAGTCATTGCCAAGAGAGCCAGGAGAGGATGATTGCAAAGGGGCTCCACAGGGGACTTTTAGGAGTGTGGGACAGTTCTGTAAGGTGCTGGGGTGGAGGATACATGACTGTGGGTTTGTCAAAATCAGCACTGTACACCAAAAAGAATGAACTTGACTATAGGCAGATGAAAAGAAAGTCAACTGACATGTCAGGAAATGGAATGCAGACTGGAACAAAATGCATCTAACTAGTACAGATGTATAAAAAGACCTCACTGAAGGAGTGGAGGGAAAAGAGCTGACCTAAGTAACTTTGGAAAGCAGTGTTTTGAATGGATACTGTGAGGGAAAAAACAAAAAGAACTGTAAATAAACACCACATTATAGTTGGTACATTTGTTTTTACCAACTATAACCCTGTGGCACGTGATTAGAGTTGGCGACATTAGTATGAACTTACTTAATAGGTACAGAAATACAGGTTTGTGTATACACATAGGCTAATATACATACATATATTACCTAGCCCTGTCTGGTGAAAAGACCTAGAAGCAGTGACACCCCAGTGACAAGCACACCTAGCACTCAGATCTCAATAAGAGGGTTTCTCTAGGGTTCCTTGGAGAAATGACTGGTTTTAGGGCTTGTGCAAGGAAAATAAAAGGTAAACTTGGAACAAATGCCAGGAATTAAGGACATGCTAAGGAAAAAAAAATAAAAAAGGATGGACCATATGAAAAGGACACAGAAGCAACCTTAGAGATTTCAAAGCTGGAACAATTTTAGCAACAAAATACTAAGCAACAAAATACATTTTGTTTAGCAACAAAATACAAAGATACTATTAGCCCATATGCAAATAATAAAATACTATAAGCAACAAAATACATTTTGTTTAGCAACAAAATACAAAGATACTGTTAGTCCATATCGCAAATAATAAAATACTATGAGGCCATACTGATGTAAATAAATGATTAAATGAATGAGGAGAAGGAATAAATGTTCCCTACAGAAGAATACAAAATAATGAAGGTAAAAGTAAGGGAAATAGAATATCATCATGTAAACACCACGGAAATCGCTGCAGGCAAGATCCACTGGAGAGTGCTAAAATCAGTGAGGGATACAGGATATTTGCATGATCTCAAAACATATCCAAAATATTTATTAATTGCTTTGGGGATTTTAATGCATTGATTCAAATTCTTTAATACTCCCCGCTCTAGAAAGTGGAGCTTAATTCTCCTCTCCCTAAGTTTGGGCTGAATTTTAGTGGCTTGCTTCTAACAGAGTAAGGAAAGGGACACATAGGGCTTCCCTGGTGGCACAGTGGTTGAGAGTCCGCCTGCCGATGCAGGGGGCGCGGGTTCGTGCCCTGGTCTGGGAGGATCCCACGTGCCGCGGAGCGGCTGGGCCCGTGAGCCGTGGCCGCTGGGCCTGCGCGTCCGGAGCCTGTGCTCCGCAAGGGGAGAGGCCACAGCAGTGAGAACCCCGCGTACCGCAAAAAAAAAAAAAAAAGAAAGGGAGACATAGTAACTTTACAGCAGAGACACCTTGCAAACACTACAGTAACTTTACAGCAGAGACACCTTGCAAACACTATGTTAACCAGTGATCAAGGTTAATATCACTAGTCATGTCGATATCATGCTCCTCCTAATGTGATGGGATGAGAAGGGCACTTCATCTCTATGGTATTCTTCCCTCAAATCCGTAAGGCCAGTAGAATCATAGGAAAATGTCAGACAGACCCCAAATGTAGGATATTCTACGCAGTGCCTGACCAGTACTCTCCAAAACTGTCTTGGTCATGAGAAACAAGTAGAGATGGAGAAGCTGTCACAGATTGGTGGAAACTAAGAAGACTTGATGATTAAATGCAAGGTATCCTGGAATTGAAAAACGACGTCAGTGGAAAAACTGGCGAAATCCAAATTTAATAGCATCATATTAATGTTATTTCTTAGTTTGGGTAAATGCATCATGGTAAGATGTTAACATTAAGGGAGGCTGAGGGGTATACTGGACATTTCTCTGTGTCTTTCCCAACTCTTCTTTAAAACTAAACATATCAAAATAAAAAGTTCGTGCACAGAAGAGCTAAGGGATGCAGATGTGGTTATGAAGGCTATAGCCAAGTGACAGTGACCCTACAGTCATTAATGATCTAAGGAAACGGAGTAATTCAGAGGCCATTCATTTTCCAGAGTGCTCTTTGAGACCCTACTGGTCCCTAGAGATATTCCAGGAAAAAGTGGTTCAACCACGGTTGGAAAATCCTGCATACTTTAGCTTGTGCTTGGTGATTAATGGCTTAAATTAGCACAAGAATCTGCCTTTCCTTAAAGATGCCTCCTTCATTATTTTCATTTAAGAGTTTCCCAAATACATTTCACCCCAGAACCCCTTGTTTCTCTTATATCTATTAATATCTTGAGAAATTTGTTGTTCTTCAATGGAAAATTCTTGTCTAGAAATATCTGGAATTGTCTAGGGATCCCTAGCATCTACTCGAGAGGGTCAACTTTAGAAATTTTGAAATGAGTTGAGTATGCAACTTTGGAAGGTACAGAAATAGACAAATAAAACATAATAACTTTTGCTCTTGATACATTCGGGTGCTTTCAGGAGCCTTGGGCAGCTGAGGGGTTATCTGTTGTTTGCCATGTGCACGGTGGGGTCTCTATCCAGAAGCAGCCTGTTAGGCAGATTTCTTTAAAATGAAATATTAAATATTTCAATAATCTTATTTCGGAGGTCTTTGAAAATTACTTGATTGCCTCTTAAAGAATAACAGATTAAACGTTCGAAGTTAGTTTTTGTTTTAGCTACCTTGGGTTACATAAAGAACTTTTAGATAATCTTTTTTCATTAAATTTGAATATATGATAAGTGCAATGTTTGTTCCTGGCTTTTTAGGATAGAGACCAAAAAATCAAGTGGTAATATTGTCATTTTCTCATCACAAAGTCTTCCCAGGTTGTAAGTAATGCAAACACTGACAGTTTTATCATGCTTAGTGTAAATAATGATTTATTTTTAGCCATTACTATTGCTGAAATGTTGCCTCCAAAACATCACACACTAGCCAAGGTGTGTGTGTGTTCTTAGTTTTTGTATTGGTATCGTATTTATTTTCGCTCTTACAATCTTAGAAGTCATGATTGTGTAGTTCCTGGACTCATGGGTGCCTGTGCTGGATGCAGCTAATTTGTCCTGCATCTGTGACCTCAAGGAGTAAATGTGGCAGTGACCACTAATGACTTTTATTGGATGAGAGCAATTCAGTGATCCTTTTTTGGATTTTGTTTTTGTTTTCCAGAGTTGCTATAATGGAAGTCAAAGGGAAAAAAAAAATCACAGGAAAAGGTACAAAGCCATCACAAGAAAAAAACAGATTTCATAAAAACAGTGGTAAGATACTCAAAACATGCTTCCCATGTAGTTTTTTTGGCCCTTGGAGGGAGCAGTTGGTGGTATGAGGGGGCATGTAGCAGATTCCAATCTATTCATGGGTTAGAGTTAGGATTAAAGTAGTAGGAGAAAGTAGGTGTTACTATATATGAGTTTGCATGTTCCCTGCGAAACTTAGACCTTTCAGAAATTGCCAGGATAATTGGTGAATGCTGTACTTTTGAAAGATATGTCGGCTAGTGATGCTGTTCCCTCACTTCAGTCACGCTAATTCACAACATTTTATTTTAACGTTTGATAAGTTGTGGCTGATTAATACGTGTACTGGTGAGCCAGATCTTCAGGATTTCTCATTGTGATGTCTTTATTGTTCCATCAGGTGTCAGTATTGCAAAATAGAAAAGTCAGGAATTGTGTCAATGACTAGTTTCCTAAGCAATCTTTTTTTTTCTTGCAACTAGAAATTCTGAAAAATAAACATTTTAAATTTGTTTATATATGATATACTTTCTAAATTTTAAATGTTCATTTTATTCTTAGATTCCTATTATGTTATTGATGCCCTAAATACACACACACAGACACACACAAACATAAAAATAATATCTCATCTTGTGATATGTGCTTAAAACAGAAGTACACCTAATTGACAATAGTGGTTATCTCTCGAATTATGGGTAGTTTTTATTATGTATTTCTCTACTTCGTAGGTTTTCTATAATGAACCTGTATTATAATTTTATAATCAGAGTAAGTTTTTAAATTTTGTTTTGATTTTTTAAGTCCTACTGTGCTCCATTTTTGAGAATAAAACAAAGTATGTTTCACTAAAGAGTGTGTAATTTTCTGTAACAAATACAATCCAGTGGATAAAAGATCTAGGCCCAGGATCATTGAACTAACAATTATTTATTATTGTTACTAGATTTTGGTTCTTCAAAGACTTTCCCAAAAAAAGTTGTTAAGGAAGGTGGACCTAAAATCACAACTAAGAACTTTGAGAAAACTGCCACAAAACCTGGGAAAAAAGGCGTGAAGCAGTTCAAGAATAAGCAGCAAGGGGATAAAATACCAAAGAACAAATTCCAGCAGGCAGATAAATTCAACAGGAAGAGAAAATTCCAGCCAGACAGTAAAAATGATGGTAAGCACTGATTCCTTTAGCAGAGTTTTTGCAGAAGCGTTGCCTTGCCTGAGCTATTGCCTGAACCGCCGTGCACAGGGACTCTAGAAGTCTGGTAGAGACCTGTTCTTGTTCCTTGACAGGCAACACTTGGGGTGGGGGCGGGGGAAGGTAGATGGGATTAAATAAAAAACAGAAAGCATCTTCCCTGGTCAAAATTGTCCTCTGGTACCTAGAATTCCTTACTTCCTAGGCCCTTGCTGAATTCCCCTAGCTGTGGAATTAGGCTAAATTGTATTGGCTTTATGCATTGGAACCTCAGTAAAACATTCCTTTCTGTAGGCTAAAATTAATGAACTCATTCATTCAACAAACAAATACTTAATACTTAAATTTAATACTTAAATAACCAGTGTGTCCCAGCTAAACATCCACCTTGGCTAAGGATGCCCTGGTGAACAAGAAACATATAGACCCTGCCCTCACAGGGCTCAGGCCACTCTAATATCATCAACCCATCAGATGGCTCAGACCCGGTAAACAGTTCCAGAGAAGGTATAGTATACATGTGACAGATTTGACTTGAATTGGTTGAACAGGCTAGGTTGCTAACTGATTAGAAGTGTTGGCAGGGCTCCTCTTTGTTGAAACAAACTACTGATCTCTTCGTCATGATGTTTAAGCGGTTGTCTCTAACCCAGAGCTTTGCTGTCTGTTGTACAGCCTGCCCTTGCTGTGCATCATCTCTCCTGCACTGGTCTCAAACGAGCAGCTTCCAGGTTACGCGTGCTGTCATGCATATGCCTTCTCTGCAGCATCACGAGAACTTCTCTGGTGTCTTTCATACTCTTTTTCTCCAGTGTGGCATAGGCTGACACTGCTCCTTTGCTGCCAACTGAGACCACTGCCATGGGGCCTTTTTACTCCAGTTCTTTAGACCTGGTCCCTGTTCTCTCCTCTGCCTAGGGCTGCTCCAAGACAGGGGCGTAGGGAGAGAGGAAAGGAGGGAAATTTTCATTATTTCTCATTAGGCCTGGAGGACTCTTACATGCTCTAGCTTCCATTTTTTCTCTTTTCCCCTTCTCTTCCAGCTTCTCTTTCCTACCTACTCTTTCCTAGCTTCTCTATTAGGTCCTAAATCTTCCCTTCCACACTGGAATTCTTGACCCCTGCATTTTAAGTGCACACACATCCTCGTCTTATTATAGTGGAGCTCTGGTTCCTTTTGCTATAGAAGATAAGTTCCCGGCATCTCAAAATGGAACTTTGATTTTATTTTCTCAGTTTTATACCAGCAACTGAGGGGGATTGGATACTAGACATCCCCAGAATTGGTTGTATCTGCTGCAACCCAGCATGGCATATGTCAAGGGTGCCCAAATATTTGTAGAATTAAATGAACTCTGGATTGGTTATTATCCTCTGCTGCATAGTACATGATGCCCTAATATTAATGGTAAATATGCCTTCTGTTGCCTGTCATCCTCTATTACCAGGCTGGGAATAAGCAAGTGAGCAGAAAGGGGAGTAACTAAATACACTGTAGTATATTGAATGCCATTAAAAATTATATTCTTGAGGAATATTTAGTTTCATGGAAGAATACTTACAGTATAATAATGTTTAAGTAAAGACAATAAGGAAATTCATATAAAATGTGTAGGGGAAAAGACAAGAAGGAAATAGTTAATCCCTAGGTTTTGAGATTATAGGAGAATTTTGGTTTTTGAGTGTATTTCTAATCAGAGAAGGGGAGATATCTAGAAATAACTTATTCTCCTAAGGGTTCTTTGCAGGGTACTCATTAAATAATACCCATTTTATTAAGTTTTTTTTTGTTTGGCCTCTTTGGGTTTTTTCATTCAATTAATAAGTTATTTAGATTGTGAAGACCAACAATAACCTATAGAAAGATACTCAACTTTTATAGCATGACCCTAATTGTAGAGAACTGAGGAATTTTGATTGTGCATTGTCATGAGTAAGAGACAGCAGAGAATAAAGCTTTAGAGCCATGTCTGGGTTTGAATCCTGACTCTGTCACTTAGGAGTTAACGTGACCTTGGACAAGGAACTTACCTGCTCGGTGCCTTTGTTTCCCTGACATGAAGGGGATAATAATAGTACCTACCTCGTAGGGTTGTTGTAAGAATTAAATCACTTAATACATAACAGCACTCAGAAGAGTGAATTTTTGAATATGGTTTTTCCTGTGTTAGTTTGGACTAATTTTTGTTTTCATTGAGAACTGATTATACCTAAAGTCCAATGACCTTAATGTTCTATAGTAAAATTTTATTTTACAATTGAGAAAGATGCTTAAACTTTTTAAATTGCTTTTATAATCTGTTTAGTTTCCTTTTGTTTTCTTAATAGGTATCCTGTTAAGATTAAATAAGTAGCTGTTGAATAAATGAACGGTTGGTGTCAACCAAATTTAAAATGTGTAAACTGCTCAGAAAATGAAATAAAGTATAAGTTGGTAGGGAATGATGTTTTCCTCCTTCTGGTTTCCTCAGTGAGTAATGATCTTGATTAGTGATTGCCATAGGTGCCTAATTTGTCCTTGTTTATGGCACTGAGAATGTTAAATGTAATTGAAAATAATTTTTGTAATGACTAGACCCAGCAGTCAAGAAACCCAAATGGGATGAGTTCAAAAAAAAGAAAAAAGAACTGAAGCAGAGCAGGCAACTCAGTGATAAAACCAACTACGACATTGTTGTTCGGGCAAAGCAGATCTGGGAGATCTTAAGAAGGTAATGCTACTTAATGGCATCTTTATTAGGCCCTTTGAGATGATGGAGGAGTAACAGTGTACCTAGTAAATAGTGAAATGTCCTAAGATAAATGACATAGCGCTTGGGTTATTTAGGGAGTACTCGTAATACTCCAGTAGAGGCATCAGTGTTTGGATGTCTGCCTGTTGCAGAAATGTGTGGAATCATTCGGATGGTGTCAGATCTGCTTATGAAAATGAATGAGAGTTAAAATGGATTTGACGTCCTTCCTGAGAAATTTCTGAGAAAATGAAGGACAATTCTTTTCGGCTAGGTTTTAAAATACTTGAGTACTTGGTGTCTTGGACTTGTTTTATTATTTTCTTTACTTTTGAAGTTCTGGCTGTTAAGATTTAGATTGATGTGTAAAATTATACCTTGTGAGATGAGTTTCTGCCTTTGAGAAAATTACTTTTCTCTGGCTGCTCTGGAATAGTAATTTTAATGTCCAGTTTGCTCTCTCCAAAGAGAAAATCATACTGAACTGGGTGAACATACAATGGTATGGTTTTTATTTTTGTGTGTTTAAAATAATGTCTTTACTTAGGCTATGTTTCCTGCCTCTTTTATAGAAAAGATTGTGACAAAGAAAAAAGAGTGAAGTTGATGAATGATTTGCAGAAGTTGATTCAAGGGAAAATTAAAACTGTAAGTAGGGCATACTTAGTTGCAATTTTAACAGTTGAAATTGACTCTCAATAAAGGGTAGTTGACCATTGTGGCAGGTGAAATTGTTTCTGTTTTTAATGTATTTGGCCTCAAATTTCAAATACCTTTTATAATACTGATTAAAAAATTTAATAGTGAGAGACCTTACTGCCGGGAAATTATAAAAAGGCGATCAAGTATTTGGCTGTTCATTTTAAAATAATTTACTTAAAATATCAGTGTTTTATTTTAATTTACTTAAAAAAATCAGTGTTCTCTTAAAGTTATCTCGAGAAATTTATTAGTTCAACAGTGTTTGTTAGAATGTCTTGCTGTGAACTCTATACTTTTATATGTTTTAAATTGCTGGCTATTTTGTATGTGTGATGCAAACACATGATTACTTTCTTCCTGCGTTTACAAGCATCATGCAAAGATCTTTATAATAGATTTGGGACTTCTGAATTGATTTTTGTTGTTGCTGTTTAATCCTGTTTTATAGTAAACTTCTGTTGATTCTTGTGTATTTGGATAAATACTTAGTGATATTCACTTGTAAGCCAACAGACTCAGTATGTTTGGAGACCCTTGAGGGGCAGCCTTTGCCGAACCACGTACGTGGGTCTAACCAGATGCTGTATTGCAGTTTGAAGGACTGTCTTTTTTTTTTTTTTTGAAGGACTTTCTTAAAGCCAGCAAGGTCTTTTTAGGTTGGAACTCCTCCTCGTCTCTAGCAGTAGTCTGTTACACTCAATTTATAAATATTTTACACTCAAGATCCTTTCCCAATTACCCTTAGGTTATTACTGCATGCCCATGGACTTGGGGGTTAGTCTGGTATTCAAATACCCACTCTGCTATTTAACATACGTGTGCCTTTAGACAATAACAGCCTATTTATTGATTATTTACTGTGTGCTAGGAATTATGCTAACCAGTGCATACTTTGTATCCTTTAACTTAGTCATCATCCCTATTAAACATTTGATACATCTGGGCTCAGAGAAGTTGAGTTTCATCCCCAGGGTCCCAAGGATAGCAAGTTCCTTAACTTCTCATAAACTTACTTTAATCTATAAAGTGCTAATAACAACAACCCACTTTTAAGGTTGCTTTGAGTTTAAATGAGAAAAATATACTTAAGCACATATATTGGTTACATAGTAGGTAATCAACATATGCACAAAACAGCCTTATTTCTTTTTAAAAATTATTTTTAAAGTTTTATCAAAAATGTCTCTGCAAATCTCCCTTAAGGAAATTCTTCGGAAATCCATGACTTTAATGAAGGTATACCTTCACCTTCTGACTTGTTAGAATTTAAAAATTTAAAGACAGACTCAGCAACAAGTAATAAGCACTATTAAAGTAGACTGTAGCATATAAAAAATAATAGTGCATGACTGATTATCTGTGGTTATTGCTTTAGAAAATTGATCAGCAAGTCCTTCAGTGAGGATCTAATCCTCACTGAAGGAGGCTTCAGTTGTGAGGGGGCTTGGGTTGGAGAATCAGATTTGAAATTCTAGGAATATAACTGGATGTATGTTCAGGGATTATAATGAAAATGTGAGAAATGGAGTGATTAGCTCATAATGTAATTGCCAGTGTGCATCTAGATTATTATAATAATTAGGTATAATTACTTATGTAGTAATACTTTGGTTGCCAAAGCCAAACATTCTTAGATCATTTATATTTTTTAAAAAATCATAGAATAATAGAATTTTTGCATTGAAAAATTCCTCTTTTAGGGAAAGTAACTATCAGAGAAATGAAAAATGAAGTGTGTATAATCATTAGACAGGTTTGATTTGAATTATGATAGAATCTTGCAGAATACTTAAATGCATTCCTGTCTCGATGCTGTACGGTAGCCAGCAAAACCAAAGAATGCCATTCTGAACAATTAAACAAGAATTTCTACTCCCAAGTAAACTAGGTTTGATTAGCTATGAAGACCCTACTTTTTTTTCCTCACAAGGAATTGTAAAAGAGGCAGCAATACAACATAAATAATATGATAGAAACATATTTTCAGAGAGAATTTGTCTAAAGGCCCCACCTGTTTTCCTGCAGATTGCGTTTGCACATGATTCAACTCGTGTGATCCAGTGTTACATTCAGTATGGCAACGAAGAGCAGAGGAAACAGGCTTTTGAAGAACTGCGAGGTATTTCTTATATATATTTCGTAATTGTTTGTAAGAAGTCGCTTGTTTTCTCTTGAAATACCCAACACTGTCCTGGAAAAGAATTCTGTTGAGGGATAGCAGTGTGTCCTCTGCAGGACCTTTGCTGTTTATTTGTATTTTTTGCCTGGGACAAATAGGGAGTTATTCGTTTGTGTTCCCAAGATTGTGCAGTTAGTTCTTCCCTTGTTTCTGGAGGACTGGAATGAGGTTATCATTAATGTAATGTATTTTGTTTTTCAGGTGATTTGGTTGAATTAAGTAAAGCTAAGTATTCCAGAAATATTGTTAAGAAGTTTCTCATGTATGGGTGAGTTGTTCTATTTATAAAATATTTTTTTATTAGTTTTTTAAAGGTGTGGATACCTATTGTGTGCAAATAAATGTTGCTTAAAAGTTGCATAATAGGAGGCTTAAGCAGATGCTTGTGATGTTTGCAATGAGTATGGTCTTAAAAAATTAATGTTATTAAAATTAATGTACAATGATGGTATTGTCTTCATTGTTCTTACGAGTATATCCTGAAGCCCTGGAAGAAGAGAAATGGTTATAATGAACTTTAAATTAGTCACCAGTTATTTAGAAGATGGAGTGATGGGAGGGGCAGGTGAGTAGGCTCAGAAGCAGGGTTAGTGGGTTAGGAAATGTCGAGATGGGAGGATTTCCTAAACTAGGTGGAATTGATACTTGTCTTCCTGTCTCAAGTATAATAATGGGCCAAAATATGCTAACCAACAACAAAAAGTACAGCTGACAAATTTTCAAAAACTGTGTTCCTGACTAGAATTACTGGCCGCTTGATTATTTTAGGATAGAATAGAAATATTTGTGATTAAGCCCTGTTTTAAAAGAGAATCCTGGGGCTTCCCTGGTGGCACAGTGGTTGAGAGTTCGCCTGCCGATGCAGGGGACACGGGTTCGTGCCCCGGTCCGGGAGGGTCCCACATGCCGCGGAGCGGCTGGGCCCGTGAGCCATGGCCGCTGAGTTTGCGCGTCCGGAGCCTGTGCTCCGCAACGGGAGAGGCCACAATAGTGGGAGGCCCGCGTACTACCAAAAAAAAAAAAAAAAAAAGAATCCTGGAATATGTTTTATTCATATTATCCTGCATGTTTGACTTTTACCGTCTCCTTTTCTCCTTCTACCCCGCTTCTTTTAAGCTGAACAATTTACTAATGGGAACTGACATTTATTGAGCACTTACTATGTGCTGGTTACAGTTCTCAGTGCATCTTAACTCATTTATCCTCACATCAACCTTATTCTTTCTATTCTATGACTAGAGAAGCTGAGGCACAGAGTGGTGAAATACCTTGCCCGGGGTCTTTCAGCTGGTAAGACCCTAGGTCTTTTCAGACCTAGGCAGGCTGGCCCCCGAGTCACTTAGAAATGCAAGGTAGAGGGAATTCCCTGGCGGTCCAGTGGTTAGGACTCCGCAGTTTCATTGCTGAGGGCCCAGGTTCCATCCCTGGCTGGGGAACTAAGATCCTGCAAGCCGTGCAGCGCGGCCAAAAAAAGAAAAAAAACAGAAAAAGAAAAGAAAGAAATACAAGGTAGAAATACAAGGCAATTTGATTTTCCTTCTCGTAGCGTTTCTCTGTGTTAGCCACCTCCACACACAATGATGAGCTGGTCTCAGAAGAAGTGTGTTATGTTTTGTTGCCACCCATCTTTCTCCTTCTATCACTTCTCTTTTCCCATGGTCACGCTGGGTTTAGGAGTAAAGCACAGATTGCAGAGATAATGAGAAGCTTTAAAGGTCACGTGAGGAAGATGCTGCGGCATGCGGAAGCGTCCGCCATCGTGGAGTACGCCTACAATGATAAAGCCATCTTGGAGCAGAGGAACATGCTGACAGAAGAGCTCTATGGGAACACATTTCAGCTTTACAAGGTGAGATTTCAAGACATTTTTCCTAGAGATTTTACTTTCTCTGTGTGCTGTTCCTTACCTTCCAATGCCCTGTTTTCAGAATGTATTTTTACTTTGGTTGTTCCTTTAAGAGACTACCTCATAGCCTTTATCCTCTTGGATTATTTTGTCTCTGGTGTAATAAGCAAGTGATCATACTTACATTTCATTCTCCCAGAACACAATCTTTAAATCCCCTATAAATTAAAACTACTTTTGTTACTCCTTCCCAAGTACTGTGTGTAATGCTTTGGTACTTCTGTTTCTACAGTCAGATAGACCAAGGAAGAAGATTCTTAATAGTCAGTGAAGCTCTGTAAACACCCCTTAACCAGCTCTGGTTGAAGGGCATCGAGCTCCCTGTTGCTGCCTTCTCTCATGTTTCCTCATGTTTGTGGATTACCCTTCCCTGGGTCATATGCAGAGAGGAAGCAGAGTAGAGAGACCCAACCTTGGATTTAGTACAAGGCTAGTAATGGGACTAGGACAGTTAAAGGATCAGTTTCAGACTTTAGGATACAAATACACATATTTATCTCAAGGGAGATGGATTGATTCCTGAGTTTCTTCTGCTAGTCAGTTTCAGCCCCTGGGTTGAACTTAGTGCTTTGTTTCCTTTGTCACAGTCACTATAGGAATATCCAGCTAATTACAAAACCTGGTGGCAAGAATTTGTTAACTGACTACTTGATCTTATGATTAGGCACATGCTAGGTGCTTGGCAAGTATGAACTGGCTGGTTGGTTATTTAGCTTGGCTCTGGAAGTACGATGGTGGGTGTATAGAATGAGAATTAGATAATCAAAAATTACCCTGTGAGTGTATCTACAGCGGGGCTTTTGTTATGTAAATATGGCAAATCTAAAAATTTAAGTTTATGTAAAACGACAATAATTGATTTTCTTTGTTCCGAAGTTGAAGAAACTTGATTAAATTTAGAGGGGTTTGATTTTTCTTCTGTTGCAGTCAGCAGATCACCCAACTCTGGACAAAGTATTAGAGGTACAACCAGAAAAACTAGAGCTTATCATGGATGAAATGAAACAGATTCTAACTCCAATGGCCCAGAAGTAAGGAAGCTGGTTTTTTTTTTTTCTTAACAAATGGCATTTGAAGGAGGAAAGTTTTACATAGCCTTTGCAGAGAAAAGGTGGATAGTTTCCCAGTTATAGTCTGTTATTTAAATTGGATTGTGAGACCTAAAAGCCCATGCATTTGGCCTTCGTGGAATTTGTACCACAGTGGAGTGGTTAGGGCATTACGTCTGGGACCAGACTTCCTGGGTGTGAATCCTGGTGCCTCTCTCAGTTACTAACTGTGACCTTGGGCAACTTAACTTCTCTGTGCCTCAGTTTCCATATCTGTAAAATTACTATAATAGTAGTATATATTTCATAGAGTTTTATGAAGATTAAATGGGCTAATATTTCCAAAGCGCTCAGAACAGTGCTTTGCTGTTAAAAACAACATGTTTTTGCCGTCTCCGTGGATACTCCGTGTGAACTTGAAGTCTTTGGTGCCTGATCGTTAGCCTCCACTGTACACCTGAATTCACCAAGTGTCACACTAGGAGGCTTGGATCAACTAGGTATTGTTGCGATTGCTGATACTGTTTTGATCTATTTAGGATTTAACTCCTAAAATGATTTTGTGAAACTGACGCATTATAAAGGAGGCTTGACAGAAAGAAAATAGCCATTAAAAAATAGTCTACATGTGGATTTCTAATAACATGTCCATTGTTGTGTAAAAGAATATAGATGTCCTTATTTAAGAAAGTCGAGTGTATTTTGAACGATAATTTCATATTTGCTGATTAGATACTAGAAACTTGTACTCTGGTCTTGGTTGTAGATGGCAACCAAGACCTATATATTTTTTAATAGGTCTAAAAGTTTTTTTTTTTAGTCTTAGTATTGCTAAAGATATGATTTATTTTATGACAAATGAAATTTGCTAAAACCATTTCACTTGTTTTGATTATTTTAGGGCGACCGAGGTTACCTATCTCTGTATTATTGTGGTACCATTTCTGACTTTTTTTTCTTCTTTTTTTCTGTTTTCAGAGAAGCTGTGATTAAGCACTCACTGGTACATAAAGTATTCTTGGACTTTTTTACCTATGCACCCCCAAAGCTGAGATCAGTAAGTTCTCGGTTTTAGGTTTTAAACTGAAACATGTAGAACTGTGTAAAAAACGTGGAATACTGCTTTGATGTATATTGGCTTTTGAAAATTTTAAACAATTGTTTCCTTATTTAGAAAAGATAATGTTCTAAACTCCCTTTGAAGAAGTCTACTAATTCCATTTAGATTTTTGCCAGAAAGACAGTAGAATTGACCATAATTTTATCAGTTTCATTGAATTTTTATATTTTAATTATAATCCAGAGAGCATCCTCTAGCTTAACCTAATAAGAAAATTAACTAACATGGAGGAATATTCAGCATTCAGGGAGTTCAAAATTCACCTGTATTGATACAAAAACAAAAAATTATATTGGTGTTAAAAGGTTACGGGAGGACACTAAGTGAACCGTGAAAAACTGGACCTTACATGAGCGTGAAGGTAAATTGTACTGCCCTTCAAGTCAGTGATGGGAATATAGATGAGAATTCACTTAGTCCCCTGAATTTTGCTTGCCTCATCATACTGTAAACTCATCATCCATTTGTTCTCATTCTAATAATAAGCGATAAGCAAGTAACGAGACTCATGTCTTTTTAACAAATATGCCAGATTAAACATTCATAGGAATTTTGACCCTCTCAAAATTGACATGCAGAATAGTTTTCCAAGAGTAGCCGCCTACCTAAGCATGTGGTTCAGTGACCACAGCAGCTGCTGATTCTCTTTAGGGGATTTCTCTCTTGTTCTGGCACCGCACAGTATCTCACAGTTCTGGATTTACTGAGGCAGGACTTTATGTTCAGAACTGAGAAAATAATCATTTGAATATATTCCATAGTAGAAAGTCTTTATCTTTTTAATGTTGAATATGTTTTAGTAATAGCAAAAAATCATTGGGAACTTAGTGTGAATATAAAATAATCAGACAGGTCTTTGTGGCCCCGGGGGCATTTTCAATAGAGAGACTTTAAAAAAAAAACTTCTGGAGGTAAAAGAAGCATAATTGGAATATATGTTTAACTCCCCAACTGGATAGCTTTGAAGAGATTCATAAGTTCAGGTATGTAAGCTGAAAGCTATGTTCTTGAGATTTATCCTGGAAAAAGATTGTGAGATAGTTAAGGGTGAAATTGCTGTTCCTTATTGATAAAAATAGGCCACTTTTCTCCTTCCTGGCAGGAGACTTTGTATTTATTTAATATAAATTTTAAAATTGGGAATGGACTAAACTGGCCCCGCAGCTGTTAGCTGGCAGAACTCACTTATGTCCTATATGCTAGACTTCCAAATATAATTATGAAATTATATACATTGAAAATAAGGAATAAAGATTAAAAATAAGCTAAAATTACCTTGTAATAAACTAGTGATTGGGTTTTTACTTAAAGGTCATTGAGTAAAGGCCTAGTGAAGACCTAGTCTAAATGTTAATGTAGGGATAAATATTTCTTAGAGAAATGTTATTTAAGTGTCTTTACGGTGAATTATTAATATGATTTCCAGAGGTAATCCAGTGATAAATTAAAAAAGAAAAACTTTTTCAGACAAAATTAGTGTTTTGGTTTTCTGCTTGTTATATACATGACTCTTTTAGGGAAGAACATTTTATTTATTTTATCTGGCTTTTTTATTAAAAACTCCCTTCTTCCCACAGCCAACTCTTAGATTTTTTTTTTCTTGAGAAGTCCTTTAGAATATACTATACGTATACAGTTGACCCTACAACAACATGGGGGGTGGGGTGCCGACACTCCCGTCCCCCTCAGTGGACAATCCGCCTATAATCAGCCCTCCCCATCAGCAGTTTTGATTGCAGATTTACCCACCTTCAGATGGTGTAGTGCTATAGTACATATTTACTGAAAAAATCCGCGTGTAAGTGGACCCGCCTGGTTCAAATCGCACTCGGGGTCAACCGTATACGTACTTTTTTGAACAGACATTGGTAAAACTCAGGGATTTTAATAGAAATTGCCTGCCAGCAGTACTTACTGCTCTTGATGGAAAAGAATGTTTCCAGGAAGCGGTTGTTAAATTGTTTGCTACCTATACTTTCTGCCTTTCATCCTCTGTGCATAACTGCTCCTTAGTAGACAGATTGTGAGAAAGTAAAAAGAAAGAGTAAACCAAAGCCCTGAACTGCATTTATTCCCCAGGAAGTGATTGAAGCCATCCGAGAAGCAGTGGTATACCTGGCGCACACACACGATGGTGCCAGGGTGGCCATGCACTGCCTGTGGCACGGCACGCCCAAGGTAAGCGTCAGTCAGGGCTTGACTTGCCTCTCCTTAGACTTTTTCGGTCTCCTTGGGGTTGGGGTTTTGCCCTCTTGCGCACAACAATATTATCTTTGCAAAGTTGTGCCTCAAGGCCTCACAGAAACTGGCTCCCCTTTGAGCCTTTTGTTTCTTCTCTACTGGAGTCTTCTTAAAGTTTGAAAACCTTGGGCTGTCTCATATGGGGAGGCGTGTGTCAAGCAAGTAAACACACTATTTATGTTAGGCTTAAGTTTATAAAAGTTTTGGTACCTGTCAGCCTCTTTGATTCCTCATTTAATGATCTTGTTGTGGGAGAGGGAGAGGAAAGAGAAGAAAATAAGCAGCTGTGCATTTGCTCCCATGGTTCTTAAGTACTTTGAGGGAAAAAGTAACGATCCATATTAATTATAGAAACTTAACAGAAACTATCCTCATTTCCTTGATTGGTATAATTCTGCCTTTAAAAGACAGTTGTATTTTGTCCACTTTTTTCTTTCGTCCACTTTTTAATACAAATTTAATTTCTCCTCAACAAGTAATGTATTGAATGCCATCTGTATGCTAGACTTTTATGCATTTGAAGACAGTTCAGACATTGGAAGAGGGATCTCAGTTCTTACTATAAAAGGAGGTAGTTTCACTAGGTTTGCCTTGCAACTAATAATTTTATGGTTCCATATTTATGTCTCAATGGATTGTCACATAGAAGTCTAAGATTATAATAGCTCTGAGAGGACTTATAGTGTATTGCATTTTTTGGTTCTGGTTGAATAACTATTTCCACTAATGAAAAGTATGCCACTCCAATGAAAGTTTAATATTATATAAAATTTTTAACTATGAAATACCTTAATCTATAACTAATCCATCACTAAACCTGTAGCTATAAGTTCATTGAGACAATTTTTCTTTTTTAAGGACAGGAAAGTGATTGTGAAAACAATGAAGACTTATGTTGAAAAGGTGGCTAATGTAAGTATAAAAACTACATATTTCTTTCTTGGGGACTTCCCTGGCGGTCCAGTGGTTAAGACTTCGCCTTCCAATGCAGGGGGTGTGGGTTTGATCCCTGGTTGGGGAGCTAAGATCCCACATGCCTCGGGGCCAAAAAACCAAAACATAAAGCGGAAGTGATATTGTAACAAATTCAATAAGGACTTTAAAAAAAAAATGGTCCACATCAAAAAAAAAAATTCTTAAAAAAAAAAAAAAAACCTACGTATTTCTTTCAACTATTTTTAACAATAAAACGTATTTATATCTATTATAGGAAATTTGAAAAGTTCAGAAAATTACCAAGAAAATTATTTATTGTTTCATTTTGTTATAATCTATTTTTATGCATATGCATGTCTTTTTATATATTATTAAATTTACACAAAATGAATTTCTCCTTTTTTCATTTAACATTGTACTGTGGCAATTTTCCATTTTTATTAGATAAGTTTTGAAGACCTGATATTTAGTCTCTAGGTAAATTGCACTTCAGAAACTTGTTACCAATTTTCATTACCACCAAAACATAAAAGAAAGTGAAACTTGTCTCTTTTCTTAGATTAAATTTGTAGTGTGGTCAAAGAAAATTTTAGTTAAGTTTTATAATTCTTTGGAATCTTTTGGAGATGGTATAACAGCTTTTCGAATGAAATTGGAGGATATAAAAAGTTTTTTCTAAAGGATTAGTTGCCTCAAAAAATAGTATTTCTGTGTATTTAAATACTAAATAGTTTTCCATAATAATTCTAAAATATATGTAGTAGTAAGCATTAGTTTTCAATTTTTGAACTATTTTATATATTATGTTTTATAGCTTCTAATTTACAGGTGAACTAAAATTAGTGATATCAACAACTTTTCCCTCTGAAAAATCCAGTAAGAACTACTGGCATCTAGTGAATACGTGATATAGTAAATGCTAATTCAAATTCAGATAAACCGGTGCTCTGTGATTGTATACATATCTGTTGTCTTCTGTAGGATTCAAGACTAGGAAGAGAGTTAGTATAAAACCACATAGAAGGCAGCTAACTTGGCTGTAACAAAATGAAATAAGAGGCTCTCTAGTGAGGAGTTTTCAGAGTATGAGAGAATTTTATGATTCATAATTCATCATTAAGTAAATCTTTTTGTATAACATTTTAGTTTGAATATTTTAAATCAGAAATGAGTAAAAATAGAATGTTAATAGAAAGTTCTATTAGGTGGAAGGGAGGGATAAACTAGGATTTGGGATTAACATATACACACTACTATATAGAGTGGATAATCAACAAGGACCTACTGTATAGCACAGGGAACTCTACTTAATATTCTGTAATAATCTAGATGGGAAGAGATTCTGAAGAAAAGATGGATATATGTATATGTATGACTGAATCACTTTGCTATACACCTGAAACTAATACAACATTGTAAATGAGCAATAGTCCAATATAAAATAAAAATATAAAAATAAAATGACATCAGAAAAAATGTTCTGAAAGGTATTAATAGTAAAAGACACTCATTTGTAATAAAATTAGATTGTTTTAATTTTACAATTTGGTTACATCAACAGTAAATTTTTTTGGACAACCTCATCCCCACAAGGTATTGCGATGTTAGCAAATTAACAATTCAGTGTCTCTTTTATCTCAAGGAGTTGCTTCTAAAGGAGTGAGATAAACTAATATAACCCATGGATTTGGTCTATGGGTTATTTGGAAGTATTTAATTTCCAAATATTAGGGATTTCTTGATATACTCTGTATTATTTCAGTCTTTTGAAATTTATAATGACTTATTTTATGGACCAATGGATGGTCTACGTTAATGTCTTGAAAAGAATATGTGGGTGTAGTCCTCTATAAACGTCAGTTAGATCAAAATGGTTTGTAGTGTTTTCATATCATGGATGTTTTTACTGATTTTACTTATCATTGTCTAGTTCTATCAGTTGCTGGGGAAGTGTGTTCAAACTTCCAAGTATAATTGTAGAATTGTCTATTTCTCATTTAAATTCTGTTCCACTTTTTGTATTCACCCAGAGAGATTTTACGCTTTGGTGTGCCTCTGTGTGTGGGACTTAAAAAACCAGAAACCTGTGGTTGTGTACTATATGCACAACATTCTCTACTTTGTTTCCTTCATTTAATTCATCTCAGGGGTCATTTTATGTCAATATATATTCATCTATCTACCTCTCTCGTTAATGACTTTATGATATTTTATTATATGACTTCCATAGTTCATTTAACAAGTCCCTACTATCAGACATGTTAGTTTCTAGTTTTTTATTTCAGATAATTCTCCAGGGCATATCCTTTGTTCATATGTGGGAGCATGTCTGTAAGATACCTCCCTAGAACTACAGTTGCTGGATCAGAAAGTACATGCATTTAAAATTTTTAGTGTTGTTGTCAGTTGCCCTTAAAGAGGTTGAACCACTTTACAGTCTCATCAGCAACATAAAAGTGTGCCTGCTTTTCCCCAAACCTTTGCCAAATTAGTATATTATCAAGGGCTTTCACTTTTGTGTATAGGACAGGTGGGATATAGTATTTCATTGTTTTAATTATAGTCCTTAATTAATGAGCATTATTTCATATGCTTAAAGCCATTTGTACTTCTCTTTGTGAACTGATTCTTCATGTTCTTAGCCCATTCTTAGTTGATTGTTGGCCTTATATATAGTAAAAATGTTAGACTTTGGTGTTTTTCTCCAGTTTGTTTCTAGTTGAGATGTTATTCCTGCCATATTCATCGGATCTGGCTCTGAATGAGTGTTGGCTGGTAGCAAAAGTCAAATCCCTCTTAAAGTAAAAAAAGATTTATATCATCATCTGGGATACTTAAAAGGAATATGCCACAAGCTTTGAAAACTTTTTTTTTTTTAACAAAGTAGAAGTTCTTTAAATCTTGGAACAATATCAGCATCATGGAAAAAATTGTTATTTCAATAGTAATGATTCTGAAAGTCCTAATGTATATTTGTATGATCTCGTGCTGCTCTCCTTTTTGAAAGCAATTGTTTTTATCTTACTCTCATATTCAGCATATAAGTATATTCTTCTAGTTCTTTTTTTTTAGTGTTTCTATTTTAATTATATAGGATTATTTTAAAGAAATTGTACAATATACCAAAGAAAATGAAAAATTATTTGTAATCCTTCAACACAGTGGTGACAGTGTTTTTCCTTCCAGGATTTTCTGTGTATGTGTATTATGTATATTTTGTATATATAATTATATCTAAGTTTATATATTTTCTTTTTTATGATTGCAGTACTCTAGTTTTTTTTTTCCCACTTGTCACTGTAACTTTCTTTGAGTTTAATTTTCAAGTAGCTATTCATTAACAGGATACCTATTTTTGAGTGGTGTTATATTCTGATTAGTTTAAAAAAATGAGTCTCAGCTATTTAATATTGAAGGATGTGCTTACCTGTTTCTTTTTCTTACCCTAGAATATAATTAACTAGGTCCTGATATAAGAGCACATTTTTTGGAATGACTTTTATCCATCTCCTTTATATTATGCTGGATACGTCGTCAGGGTGATAACCTTTTTTTTTGTGTGTGTGGTACGCGGCCCTCTCACTGTTGTGGCCTCTCCTGTTGCGGAGCACAGGCTCCAGATGCGCAGGCTCAGCAGCCATGGCTCACAGGCCCAGCCGCTCCGCGGCATGTGGGATCTTCCCGGACCGGGGCATGAACCCGCGTTCCCTGCATTGGCAGGCAGACTCTCAACCACTGGGCCACCAGGGAAGCCCCCGGGTGATAACCTTTTAACGTAACTCCTTAGGTGGAAGAAAAGGGAGAATCTGTATATTTTTTTAACCTTTACTGGCTTTCAATTCCTACAGGGCCAATACTCCCACTTGGTTTTATTGGCGGCGTTTGACTGTATTGATGATACTAAGCTTGTGAAGCAGATAATCATATCAGTAAGTAATTCACATAGTCTTGAATTTAATTTAAATTGATACATCATTTGTGAGTGTGTAAGTTTGATTTCACACGTAGATGTGTAAAGATTTTGAAATGTGTAAATACTTTCTGCCAGTATTTATTTTTTAGTTGCCTTAAGCCTATTTTGGGGGGTTGCTTTATTCCCATACAAACCATAGTCCTGTTACTTGATTATTACTAATTAATGTTGCTTTAAATATGTAAAAGACTGCTTAAATTAGGGTAATGTGACTTTTTAGACCACGTAACATACTAAAAGAAAAATTAGCGATGCAGTGTTTAGATTTGATCGGAAATTTATTTTCATAGTAATTCCTCAGTTATTCAAGAACTCATGTCCACCCAGGCAGAAGCTATCCATGACCTTTTTTCTCTCCCTTTGGAGAAACTGCCTCTGCATAGCTTATCGATACATCTGTCCTGACTTGAACTGGAGAAGAAAAACTGATGAAGTTCACTCAATTGTGATGGCTTCTTAGAGATTTCATGAAAGCTGGTGTAGAGTTAGATTAAAAATTTTAACTAAAATTAGAATACTAGATTCCTTTTTTCATTTCAATTTTTTAGCCTGGTATAATGACCATAAAGTGGTAATAATTGAATGCGGTTTACTTAACCCTAAATTTGCCTTCAGAACAACTGAGCTGTTCTCTTATAAAAACTACACCCAAGTAAAAACTGTATTATGAAATAATTTTCTTCTTTCTGCAATGACTGCCCCTTTTCTGACTTGAGATTCTGCGATCCTCTTTTATTTTTCCTTCCTTTATTTCTAGCATGCAAGTTGTGTTAGGTGTATGATAGAGGTTTCGGGGGAAGGCATAAGAAATTGCAACATTGGTAGCAGGGACCGAACCTGGAAATATTTTAAAAAGCACATAATCTGTATAGACACAGATTATTCATTTGAAAGTTGGTACACATGGATGGGGCCCTTGCAGAAATCTTAGTGACAAAAGCGACTTCCACACCATCTGCAGGGAGAAGCATATGGATGTTCAGAAAGAGAATTTACCTGTTGGCCTGTGGTGGTGCTGTGGCCTCTTTGTAGCCTATCTGGACCAGTTAGAGCTGGCTGATTAGGAAAAATGTCCCAACTAGTGGAGGGATAGGAGATTTGTTTTTTCAGATGCCAGCTCTAGGTCCCAGTGTGTGAATTTCTCATGCCCTTGCTGTCATTTTCCAGCTTTCCCCTTGACTGTTTTAAGATTGTGATGACTTTCTTTGGGATAGGATTGTGGGAAGAAACAAGTTGGCAGGACTTTGATGTTACAAACTGAGTATTTTGACATGTTCCTTGTGACTTTATTACCCTTTTGACTCCAATCAATAATGATTGTTTTTCATTCCAGTGACAGAAATGTGAGGCCATAGATTAGCTAATGAATAAAGTTGTTTCATGAAAATGGAAACAGGCTGGGCTATTGAAAGCTTGCTTTTGTTTAATATTTTCATGACAACTAAAATTTGCATAACTGTTCCAAATGGATTTTAAGAGAAACCAAACTCCCTTCAGGATTTGCCACAATTGTCTGCTAGATTAATTTTTTCCAAAGATTTATCCCACTTAAAGTCACTGTTGAAACAGTTTTAATTCTTTGTGCTTATCAGTTTGATAAGCACAACTGTTTAACCCACATTCCTAGTGACTTTCTCATACTTAAGGCAGCTTTCCCTGAGAATGGCCTCATTTGCTGATGTCTTGCCTCCAGCTGACAAATGCTCAACGGGTTTTGTGTATCATTAAACTACGTAGCCAGTGATAAAATTATGGAATGCTAATTGCTCTTGCATTTTCCCCACCATCCACTACAAAACCTGTTGCAGTATGCAGTGCTTGTTAAAAATACCCAAGAAAGCTTAGTGTTGCAAAACATTCTGTTCAGGGTAACCAGACTCCTGCAAATGTCAGGTTGAAATCACAGCCTGGTCATTTGAGCCCTCACCTTTCAAAATGGATACACACTGTTTCCCACTTACTGTACTTTCTAAAATAAACATACTTATAAAATCCGACCCTGGAATTGTTGGTATGATGCAACTGCTTTGACAGCAGTGATCCTCTAAAAAGGAAGTAAGTACACTGGCCAATTGCTCTTTGAGAGTGAATATTGATACATACTTTAAAGTGTAGTATCTTTAAGATGCTATACAGAAGATATAAAGGATAATAACAGTGTACACCCAGCCTCCCACCTGATTGGGCATGAAGAAGTAAAACTTGCCAAATACAGTTGAAGTTCAAGCCCTTTGTGTACTTTTTTTTTTTTTTTGCAAATCCTTGTACCCACCCCCCTCTGCTGTGATGGATTGGTGCTTATTATTTGCATGCATTCCCTTATCCTTTTGCTATATGTAGATGTTTATGGTATTACTTTGCATGTTTACAAATTCTGTATAAGTGATGTGTGTTTTCTCCTGCAACTTGCTTTTTCCTTTTGGCATTATGTTTGTGAGTCATCATCAGGGAGGGTCAGGAAGCTTTTTTTTTTTTTTTTTTTCAGTACGTGGGCCTCTCACTGTTGTGGCCTCTCCCATTGCAGAGCACAGGCTCAGTGAGCCCGCTCCGCGGCATGTGGGATCTTCCCTGACCAGGGCACGAACCCGTGTCCCCTGCATCGGCAGGCAGACTCTCAACCACTGCGCCACCAGGGAAGCCCAGGAAGAAGCTTTTTTAATAAAGGGTCAGATAGTAATTATTTTAGGGTTTGTGAGTCGTGTATGGTCTCTGTCGCATATTCTTGTTTGCTTTGTTTTTTGTTTAGCAACACTTTAAAATGTAAAAAAAATATATATATATATATATTCTTAGCTCACAGGATGTACAAAAACAGGCTGCTGGTTAGATTTGACCTACAGGCCATGGTTTACCCACCACTGTTCTAAACCATTCATTTTTCAATGCCAAATAGTTTTTTACTCTATGAATATACCACAGTTGATTTTTCCATTTTTTCTGTTGATGGACATTTAGGTTGTTTATAGTATTTGTAACTTTAAACATTCATATTATTTTTTGCTATTCCAAATAATTCTGTAAGCATTCTTGTATGTCTCCTCGTTTCTCAAAGGCATTTACTTAGCAGAACTGTGGGTTGCCAGATATGCTGCCCATATGTTATATAGAGTCATGTGTCTGTGTTTCCCACGCAGCCACTACAAAACCTGTTGCATTATGCAGTGCTTTTAAAAATAGCCAAGAAAACTTAGTGTTGCTAAGCATTCTATTCAGAGTAACTGGATATCCTGAAATGTCAGGTTGAAATCATAGCCTAACAAACACTCCTTTTCTCTTTAAGACCAGGCTCCGATTCAATCTCCAGATAATGTTTTCTGATCTCTCAGCCAGACCTGCTCTCCCCGTTCTCTCAACTCTTATAATTTTTGTCTTTGCCGTCTATTCATTTAGCAGTTAATTGTGCTCCGACCCAGGGCTTACAAACTCAGAAACATTCATTGACCAGACAGGTAAATGAGCGAGGCAGGCCAGGTTGGGAGGGGCGGGGGGGGACTAGAATGCACCTGCCCTGTCCAAGGCGGTAGCCCCCCTTGGCTCCAGCCTCTGGGAGTGTGAGCCCCATGGTGATAGATCTTCCAATTTATTTTTCTTTTTTAATTGTGATAAAATTTACCATCTTAGCCATTTGTAAGTATATAGTTAAGTGGTATTAAGTGTAGTCGCACTGTTGTACAACCAATCTCCAGAACTTTTTCATCTTGCAAAACCAAAACTCTGTACGTTTAATAACCTCATCCCAATTTTTTGAGTGCAGCCAAAAAGTTGGACTTTTGTATAAAATCACCGCATTTTTTAAAACAAAACACTCAAGAGGCTGCAGTCACTGCCAGTGATCTAACCTTCTTCTTACACTTCTGTTTTTATCCATTATTTAAATCTCTTATTTTTATTTCTAACTTTTAAAGAGTTCCTCTTGCCTCTTCTGCTAGATTTTAGCTCTTTAAGGTTAAGGTCAGCCTGTGTTTCTCTTTGTTCACACACAACCTTCCATAGAGGAACACGCACCATGGATGGGCATGGTGCTCAGTAATGTGTGTTGCATTTTGCATTTCTTCTTCCACTGAAAATGCATATGTGCTCTAACCTTACTTCCAGTGTTCACCTTTCATTTTGACCTTTACCTTTCCCTTTTAAAAGAGGGTTGGCAAAACAAGAATGCCAAAGAATCTGACAAGCGTCCAACACGAGGTCAGAATGGCCACACATTTTCACAAGGGAGATCTTTTGTTCTTCTTGCACTTTTCTTCTGTTTACATACCTGCTTTAGAGTAAAGCATAAGGGGAAGATATTACAACAGTGGTCCTTCTTGTGATTTTCTCTAAGTAAGAGGGAAAGTGAATTGAAAACCTTTACATTTGAACCTTCATTGTTGGGGCTCTTTGCTCTTTTGAGGATGCCAAACTCATGACTCCCATCAGCTTTATTTAACCTCCATAGTTAAAGATGCTGTATATTGATGGGTGTTTTCCATATGAAAATAATTACTTTATAGCAGTTTCCAGTTTATAGCGTGAATTTTCTGATTTGCTCCTGGTAGTGGCCCACAGGTGGGGCAGGTGTATCATTTCCTTTTGCAGATAAGGGAATTGATGTATAGAGAGGTTAAAGGATTTTCCAAAGGCTACACAGCTTGAACCCAAAGACCAAATTCAGCACAAATCAACTGCTCTGTAGCTGCCTCTTCCCTATCTCTACGTGTTTCGACACTCAGTGTTCTCCAGGTGATCATCTAGAAATTTCTCTCCTCTGTGTGTGACCCAGGTTAAAGAGAAATGAATTAGTACTCCATAAAATAGCATCACTCATACTGTTTTATTTTTTCCAAGATGAATGTTTTTGATGGTAGGAAACCAGGAATAAGGGGGAGTTGGGGGAGAATTAACTGATATCACATTTTTAAGTAAACATTTTTTAGTTTCATATGATTGTTAGTTTATAAACATTGCACTCTTTTCAGAATCTTAGACCAACATAAGTGTAGATTCTAAATTCCTTAATTACAGACTGAAAGGTAGTAAAAGTTCAGTGAATTTGGGCACTAGTCCTTGAGTAGTATTTTTGCATGGATTTTATATGCATCTTGTGTTAAGGTGAAACCATTTCTGCCCAAGCCAGATACGATGCACTAGTCCTTAAGTGTAGAACCCACAGAGAAGATCAAGTACATTGAAGACTACATTGCTGGCTTCATGCCACCCCTTTTCCTGCTAGGCCAAGAAAAGAAAAGTTAATTAAAAATAAATAGCAGCCATTTATGTTCTTCACTGCCTACTCCCCCCCTCCCTTTTTTTTTTTTTTTTTTTAAAGCAAGTTTTTTTTTTTTTTTTGCGGTACACAGGCCTCTCACTGTTGTGGCCTCTCCCGTTGCGGAGCACAGGCTCCGGACGCTCAGGCTCAGCGGCCATGGCTCACAGGCCCAGCCGCTCCACGGCATGTGGGATCCTCCTGGACCAGGGCACAAACCCGTGTCCCCTGCATCGGCAGGTGGACTCTCAACCACTGAGCCACCAGGGAAGCCCAAAGCAGGTGTTTTAAAGGTATAATACCCCAGAGGGTTTTTTAAGGACAGCAAAGTTGTGGAGGTTTTTTAATGATTGTACAGATTGGCCTAAGCTATGTATCATTCTCAGTCTCCTCTTTAAACTGATTAAAGCATTTATCTTCTTTTATGAGTTGGTTAAACCTTAAATAAAGCCACACTAAAAGTAGCCCATATTTGTGGCACTAAATGCCTCTTTTTCAAAAATGCATATTTTGAGTCTACTTTGGGACACGTTTACCTTGAAATTGCAAAAGAGCTCCCATCCCCATGAAGTGATGTACATTTTTTTTCTGTCTTCCCCTTTAGTACTGAAATTTTAAGTCATTTTTTCTGAGTGGTTAAAATTTATATTCATTTTCAGGTGGTTAGATCTGTTGCACCTATTTTCTAGCTTGTTTTTTTTTTTTTTTTCCTGCACCTAAATTACTAATCTCGTAATCAGTAGGCACTCAAGAGAATAGCAGATCTGAGTATATCATCTGGAGAATTCCTTTCCTTAAGAATGGGGTGTATGTTTTCTTTGAAAGAGACTAGAGTTGAAGTCAGAGGAGCAGAACTAGTGAGAGCCCTTGCACTGCCACTCTCATGTCCTCCTGCAGGTCACCTCCCCCCTTTCTGGGCCCCTCATCTGTAAAGCTGGGTGGTTGGACTGAATTCTTTCTGTGGCCCCAGCCAGTTCTGAAGAATCTCTGGTGTTCAGACACACTTGGCTTTGAATATTAGGTTTGCTGTAAGAAATAGGAATGTTAGAGAGGGAAAGACTAATGATTTTTCTGTTGCATACGTAGAGTAAACGAATTTTTAAACAATGATTTTTCTGTCCTTGCAAGTATCGCCAAATCTACACAGGAGCTCAGTTGGGGTGGGGATGACATTGCCTTTGTTCCTTAATCAAACAACTAGAAAAGGAGGTTACTGTTCTTGTTAAGTTGATTGGAGATGTCATAGAATGCAATTATTTGTAACTGCTCCATGGAGTCTTTCTGCATTTATTTCCCTCCCCGCTCTTTTTGTTTTCCACGTGATACTTAAACAGCCTTCATTTGCCATGAGTAAGTAACCTAACTTTAAAAGCCTTTATCCACTTGTTCTATTTAACGGAGTTTCTTTATCTCCTTTCACATACATCTCATTAGGGAAATTCTAATAAGAATGGTCGTCATCAATGCTGCTGCTCCATTTAAGTGCAGCTGCAAATTAACTGTATCTGCTCAGTGGGCCCAGCAAGCAATGTCCCTAGTAATAGTGGCCTAAGAAATATTGGTTACAATGAATGAGATAACTCCTTTAGACATATATTTTTTAAGTTCTTGAGCTTGGTCGGTTAAATACAGATGGATTGTTCAGTAATGCTAGTCCCAGTAGAGAGGCAGTTCTGTATTCCGAGTGTAAATTTCTTTGTGCTTTAATGAGACGACTTCAGAACTAGCTCTACATTTTTCATTAAGTACATTGGGGAAAAGTTATGTATCCTTCTTTACCATTCAGATTCCAATCATAGTTTATTTTAAGCATATAGATTCACTTTTTGTTTCTATAATTTTACAGGAAATTATTAATTCCTTGCCTAACATAGTAAATGACAAATATGGAAGGAAGGTCCTGTTGTATTTACTAAGCCCCAGAGATCCTGCACACACGGTAAGAGAGATCATTGAAGTTCTGCAGAAAGGAGACGGTAACGCACACAGGTGAGGGACAGTAGAATAAAGGGCTTGGGCCCTTTATTCCTCTGCTCTGATTGTTCATTCATTTTGAGTGGCATGTGCTTCCATAAATCTACTCACATGTGTACACCTCTCATGCTCCCTCCCTCTCTAAAACTCCAAAGGTGAATTCCATTTTTCAGCCTGTAGTTTTGGCAGATTCTTAAAGTTTTTATCCTGAAAAGGAAATGAAAGCATCACGCCAAAAGAACGCCTCTGAGGCCCAGCACATAGCAGGCGCTCGGGTGTGTGTTTTGCTTTATGTTTAAAGCAACTGGTACCACTTAATCAAGTACTGTAGGGAGCAGAATCCATAAAGTAGTCTAAACATGTGTTGTAAGATATTTTGTTACTGTCGTTATTTGGTTTGGGGTTGGTTCGGGATTTTTTTTTTTTTGTATTACACAAGGCAAGCTTCACTTATTGAGCGCTCATTCTGTGCCAGGCACTGTTCAGATCCTGGGGACACAAAGATGAAAGCCAGATATCCCGCCCTCAAACTGCTTATCTACATGCACAACAGAAATTAGACAACAGAGCATGGCACAAACTGTTATAAGCCCTTAGAGATTTCTGTGATAATAAAACACCATATTTCCTTTGCTATTTATCTTACCTTAATTCTTCATTCAACATGTTACCACAGTAAGAAAGATACAGAGATCCGCCGACGAGAACTCTTAGAATCCATTTCTCCAGCTTTGCTAAGCTACCTGCAAGGACACGCCCAAGAGGTGGTGCTGGATAAGTCTGCGTGTGTGCTTGTGGCTGACATCCTGGGAGCTGCCATTGGAGATGTGCAGCCCGCCATGAATGCCGTCGCCAGTTTGGCAGCGGCAGAGCTGCATCCTGGTGGCAAGGACGGAGAGGTACTGTGCTATCGTGAGACAGGCGGGAAAGCCACAGTGGCTGCAAAAACGCCAATCACTGGGAACATTGCTATAAAGAGAATTTTAGTGATAATTAACTCACCTCATACCCACAGTACATTTGGAAATTGCGAATTCAAAACAGTGCTGTTAACACTCACTGTCTTCTGATGACTCCACATACCTGTAGAGTAAAAACAAAATCCTCTTAATGCTGTCCGTGATTGACCCAGGCTGTCTTTCCAGCATATTCTGTGTTCTTAATTTTGTTTTGAATTTGCTGTGGACTTTTGCACTTCCTTCATTTGTATGTACTTCTTTTCTCAACCTCACGTGCTACTTATGTTTCCATTTTCCTGCGCTCTTCCTGTAGAAAGCCTTATTAATCCTTCCAGGGCCTTGGAATCCTTCTCCGTGAAGTCTCCCTTAGTTCCCTCTCAATCAGAAAGTTTTCCCTCTTTCTGAAAGCTCCTGCCTGTGTTATTTGGGCCTTGTGTTATTCTGCCTGTATCTTAAGTTTCTTGGTTCATGCACTGAATATGTGCTAGGCAGTGGTCAACACCCCCCACCCCCAAAAAAGAGAATACCGTTTGGGGAAACACAATACTTAAATAAATATGCACACAAATGATTATTGTAGAATAGAGATACGTGCTGTGAAGGAAAACGCCAGGTTCTATGGGATTATATACAAATGGGAGGCAACCTGTCCTAGGAGGGCTTCCTGAGGCAGTGAAAGCTAAGCTGAGACCCAAAGGACTGGTAGCTGAGTGAAGAAAGAAGATTCTAGGCAGAGAGAAGAGCATGTGCGGCCGCCTTGGAGGAAGGAAGAAGCTCGGCATGTTTGAGAACAGGAGGCTCAGGGGGCTGGAAATCAGTGAGCAAAGGGAAGAGGAAGGCGGAAGCCAGATCCTGCCAGGCCCTCGCCCCGCGCTGGGTTGTGAGCTCCTGATGGACCCACATGGATGGGGAGCCCACTGTTCTCTGACACAGGAGATGGGGAAAGAAATGGGCCATGGATCTTAGAGACACCCTGGCTCCTGCCCTCACAGGGCAGATCCTGTTAACAAATTGGGACGATGCATGTGTAATGAAAGTTCCTCTGTAAGGACACAGGGCCTGTTGTCTCCCGTGCTGGGCAAGGAGAGGTCCTAGGGGATCTCTGTGCGAGCAGTTGGTATGGCCCTTGAAGAGGAGTGAGCCTGCTCATCAGCTAGTGCTCCTCGGGCATCACCTTAAAGGATGATTTAAACATCATTCAGCATTTAGGTTTTAATGTTTCTGCTGTAGTGTTCTGTCCCATCGGTTTCTTTGCTCCTCAGAATTGCGTATGACAATCTGGAAAGTGGTTAGCATGATCTTAAGATGAGCCTGGTGGTGGAGCTGTTCAAACTGGAGCTCATGAAGCTGAATGTGAGCTGCCTCAGTGGCCATGTTATCTTGAATAACCATCTTCATTTCAGTCAGGGTTGGAGTAGATCTCTCGTCCCTCCAGGTGTAGTAGTCATTGTAGATAAAGACCTCTTAAGCCTTTTGGAACTTTCAACTCGCCTGAGACTTTATCCGTATGTGGTGATATAGAGTGGATAAAAACAGCTTTTTAATTAATATGTTCTTGACCCCTCACAGCTTCACGTTGCAGAACATCCTGCAGGACATCTAGTTCTGAAGTGGTTAATAGAGCAAGATAGAAAGATGAAAGAAAGTGGACGAGAAGGTAGGCTGTGCAACTTGACCTTTTCTTGTATTGGATGTGGAATTTCAGTCATATCTGGCATCCCTGAACTTTATGCCGGCCATTTAAGTTCAAATGAGAGTCTGTTGAGTTTGTGAGTAAGAAATGATTTAGTGGTTGCAAATAATGCTTTTTCCCCCTGGAAACTTGTCTCCTAGAATCCTTTCATTTTCTTTCCCTTTCCCACCCTCCCTCCCTTTCTCTCCTCCCTCCTCTGCTACTTCAGACTTCAAAACGGGCTTGTCCAACATTCTAAAATGCCATTTTATTCTTTGAGGATGGTGAGAGCAGAGTAGGAGGGCCAGTTTGTGAGTATCATCATCCCAGTTGAAAAGCATATTTATCTTTAGTTTTGAGGAAAGGATAAGCAGAAGAAAATTATCCTCATCAGAGAATTTTGAACTGGTGCCTATTTGGCATTGAAATATATATGACCAAAGAGCAAGCCAGGCCTTGGCACTTCCTGGTTTTTCATAAACCTTACAGCTGCTCTGTAGAAACTCAGCTCTCAAGAGGAGGACAGCATCTTTTATTTATTGATGAGTGAAAACTTGCGTATCATTCCTCTCTCAGTCCTGTCTTTGACCAGACCTTCTCTTTCTAAATTCAAACTCCATCTGGTATTTTAGCCACTAAAGAGGCTTCCTGCCACTGAGTTAAAACAGTTTGGGCGTTCTGTTACTGTGTCTGAAAAGAGTGACAGATCATGAATTTATGTCTTGAGGCAAGTTGCAGTTCTAATGGCTAGCGAGGCAACCAGTATAGTAATAGAACTGTTACTTCTCACTCTAACTTTAAGAACAGAGACTTGGGCCTATTTCTCACTGTAAATTTTTTATAAAAGAGGAAGCTTCTGGTAATAAATTTTGAAGAAAAAATAATGTATTGAATTATCTTTTTATTATTAAAAAGTTGGTGCATAGTTGAGCTTATGTCAGAAAAGTTGTCTTGCTTTTAAAATCCAAGCAATTTTCTAGTGACTTTTCTCCTCATTTAAATTGCCCTGGCAACCCTAAAACACATCTGTTTGAACTTGATGTATTTGTCATGTTCATGTAGCACCAAATGAGTGGCTAGCTGTCTTGGTGATCTGTTGCTGTGTAACAAGCCACCTCAAAACTTAGTTTTCAAAACAACAGTCATTTGGTCAGTGTTTGGTGGAGCTCAGAAGCTCTACTCTGAGTCATCTAGGGCTGCTTGTCTTGGGGTCGGATTATCCACTTTCATAATGGCTGGCAGTGGCTACGTCCAGCAGCCTCGCTTCCTCTCCCTAGGCTGTTGGGTTTCCTCACAATATAGTGGTTGGGTTTTAGAAGGACAAAGTAGGTGCATGGTACTTTCATGATTTGGCCTCAGAAGTTATTTAAGGGCAGTTGTATCGTACTCTCTTGAGTAAGTCAGTCACAAAGGCCCACCCAGTTCGAAAGGAGAAGACATCAGTTCCACCTTTAGATGAGGGAGTGGCACTACTCTAGGAGCATACACAGACAGGAGATACTGTTGTGGTCACCTTTGGAAAACACTGTCTGCCTCACCAGCTGATTTCTGTCCCTCTTGAGCATGTGCCACGAAGAGTAAAACAGTCGTGGGCCTCTTGGCTTTTAAAGGCTCCTCATATTTGGGTATCTTTGAATTTTACGTGCTACCTCCCCAAGACGTTTGCCTTTAAGATAGGTTGTCCCCACCTCCATCTGTACCAGATCCTAGTCTTCAGAATTTCTCCTTTGTCCAAGAGTTAGTTAACACTGAGGTGGCACAGTGAATAAGATAATACACTCTGAGACCTTGGGAATCGGATATACTATAATAACAAAACATGAATCGTATTTTTGATGGGTGAACGAATGTTTAGTATTGTAGAGAGAAATTGCCAGGTATAAGCCAGAATAGTCATTTGACCGTTAATTGGGTTCAAGGCACCTTCTGAGTGAGCATTTTCCTTGAGGGGAAACTTGACTTTAACCAAACACGAGGTGCTGCTGTCAAACATTTACTTCCTGAATAATTTTCAGGTCAGGGTTAAATCATTAAATAGTACAAAGAAATGTAAACGTGACCAAGCGAGCATTTTATAAGAAGTCATTGTTTCTCTTGAGTAATTACTGCTAAACATAGCTGAGGATTTGGGTCAGAGTGGAGAGAAATGGCTGTATTAAAAACTCATTACATAAAGCTGAGCTAGAATTTTTAGTGTTAAGTGATACTGGGTGAGAACGCTTTATTAGCTTTCTCATTAAAACAGGTTTCCAGCTTTAAGCCTAGTAGGGAGAGAGATTGGGAGTTTAAATCTGGGTATATGATGTTCATGAAGTTTATTTTACAGGTTGTTTTGCAAAAACACTCGTAGAGCTTGTTGGTATGAAGAACCTGAAGTCCTGGGCTAGTGTCAATCGAGGAGCCATTATTCTTTCCAGGTGTGTAGAAAGTGTGCCTTTTTTCTGCTTAGGGTCCTTGTCCTCAATGCCCGTGGGTGCGCAGCATGCTTCCTTCACGCTTACTTCTCAGTTCTAATGTCTGTTTCCAATAGTCCAGCATTCCTGTCAGTTACTCTTGGTCTAGACAAGGATACCAAATATTAGAGAGCAAATGTAACTCTTGCATCAGTCCTTACAGTTTTTCTCATACGCCCTCTTTTGGATCATAGAATTAGGGCATTCACAAGGCGTCGTTGGATTGTTTCACCACATGTATGGTTTGGGCCAAAGTTTACTTGTATTCTTTTTTAATGGATTAGTTTTGTTCCTGTAAAAACTGACAGAGTTGTTTTTCAAATCGTGACTGACTTTACTGACTTTGTTTTCAACTATTCTAAAAGGATTCGAGAAGCATTTGCTATTAAAGTCTGCATGCTAATTAATCTTTGTTTCTAATTAAAATGTTAGAAAACTGATGATTTGTGAATTGAGACATATGCTTAACTTGTATATTGTTGTTTGGACATAGGTTGAGTTTATAATTTACAGGTCATTGAAATTTCCATCTATTCTATTCCCAGATAAGATCCTTTTATTAAGGATATTCATTTTAAAATAGATTTGTGTGTTGTTTTGAAGTAATCACTGTTGATTTTTTTTGCCCTGCTGTGTTACCGAGATTTGGAAAAACAGTTACCAGTCTCAGCTTGAATTTCCCACAGTATTTCACATGCAAGTTACTATGCAGTTTAATTTGTATATGTTTATAAATGTTGTAGGCATTTCTTCAATATATATTTTGATTTGGTACACATATACTCACAAATACGTACATTCCAAACGGGCATTCATTATTTTTAGGTATATCAGTATCTCCAAATATATGGGTGATACAGATCACTAGTTTATTTCTCATTAAAATTAGCTAATTTTCCAGTTGGTGTTGAACAGCCAGAGTCTATTAGCTGAAACATGAACTTTTTGACATGAATTTCTTTCCTGGGCATTTGGAATGTTAACACCTACTGACACATTCTTTCATTACACTCAATTAACTAAAAATTATGGCAATGCCGTAAAATTAATTTTTTTAACATCTTTATTGGAGTATAGTTGATTCACTTTGTTATACAGCTATATGTATACATATAACCCCGTATCCCTTCCCTCTTGCATCTCCTTCCCACCCTCCCTCTCCCACTCCTCTAGGTGGTCACAAAGCACCGAGCTGATCTCCCTGTGCTATGCGGCTGCTTCCCACTAGCTATCTATATTTGGTAGTGTATATATGTCAATACTACTCTCTCACTTCGTCCCAGCTCACCCTCCCCGCTCCCCATGTCTTCAAATCCATTCTCTATGTCTGCGTCTTTATTCCTGTCCTGCCCCTAGGTTTATCAGAGCATTTTTTTTTTTTTTAGATTCCATATATGTGTGTTAGCATACCGTATTTGCTTTTCTCTTTCTGACTTACTTCAGTCTGTATGACAGACTCTGGGTCCATCCACCTCATTACAAATAGCTCAATTTCGTTTCTTTTTATGGCTGAGTAATATTCCATTGTATATGTGCCACAGAACCAGGAAGAAATAGAAAATATAAACAGACCAGTCACGAGCACTGACATTGAGACTGATTAAAAATCTTCCAACAAACAAAAGTCCAGGACCAGACGGCTTCACAGGCGAATTCTCTCAAACATTTAGGGAAGAGCTAACACCTGTCCTTCTCAAACTCTTCCAAAATGTAGCAGAGGGAGGAACACTTCCAAAGTCATCCTACGAGGCCACCATCACCCTGATACCAAAACCAGACAAAGATGTCACAAAGAAAGAAAACTACAGGCCAATATCACTGATGAACATAGATGCAAAAATCCTCAACAGAATTAATTTTTAAAGATTGCTCATCAATCAGAGCTCCCCTTGGGTGGATTTCAAACATGAGAAGGATACTGTAGGTTTATTATGGAATATTCCTTAAAACGGGAATATGAAATATCTGAACATAAAGTATCTGAGGTTCTAAAGGGAAGTGAAACTGGAGATAAATTAATAATTGATTAATATAATAATTATTTTTATTTGGCGTTAGAATACTGTCATGTGCTTGTTTGGCAAAATTCTTTCCTTGTTTATATTTTTCTTTAAAACTCGTGCAGTATGTGTGTGTGTGCGTGTTTGTTTTTGTTTGTTTGTTTTGCTAAATCTTTTTTAGAGTGACAAAGTGTCATTCTGGGTGAAAAAGTCAGCCTTGTATGCAGTCTGAAAAATAACTCAGAGAAGCATAATTCTCTAGCATTTAAATGCATGAGCTCTAGACAGACTGCCTGGGTTCCAGTCCCAGCTCACTGTGTGGCCTTAGGCAAATTACTCAGCTTTTCTGAGCCTTAACTTTCTTGGAGGTACAATGAGATTAATAATAATCCTAGGTTGTTATGAAAACTAAATGGGATGATGCATACATAGTGCTTAGCATTATGTTTAATGCGTGTGTTCAGTAAATATTAACTTGTGTCACTATTATGCACTGTGTGACTGTGTGTTTAGCCAAGGTTTAGAAAATACGAACACCTGTGAGTCACAAGTCTATTGAGAGGGCACTTTACTTTTCAGCTTTGCAGGTGGCAAGCAGTACTTGTTGCTTGTCTTCCACAAGCATGTCCTCCTCTCTGTGGACATGATGGAAATTATTGGGACCAGGGTCTTTCAAACATGCCACGTGATTTCTTTCTGGGTTGTGTTTCAGTGGTCAGCATTTAAACGTGGTCGTGAGGACGTCAGGGGAGAATAGGAAATTCGGCCCTGGGGTTTGGTGGTTGAGTGCCTGTGACTTGGCCCCTATTTAGAGCAAGGGGCCTACTTGTTGCCAGTCTGAAGAGCTCTGCTCACCTGTGATAAAGTACGCCAGCAAGGTCTCAGAGAGCAGAGCTGACCTCATTTTGTTGAATGAGTCACACTGATCAAGTGGTTAACTAGGAGCCCGGCTCTGGCTATAGGTGTTTCAGATACAGGATCATGTGAGCCTCAAAACACAACCCTGTGAAGAAGGCAGGTTCTTTTGTTCCCATTCTGCAGGCCAGGAAACTGAGTCTTTGAGAATTTAAATAGCATGCTCTTGGTTGTATAGTTACTGAGTGGCAGAGGCAGGTTTCAGATCTGGGCAGTTAAGCTCCAAGGTAAAGCTCTTTACGCCTTCACTCAGTGTTTTGGCAATAGAGTTCAGTAAGAAGGCCATTCATTAACTGCTTACCTTTCATGCTCCCCACCGTTCCTCCGTGTACACCTATTCACGCATGTTAATTCAGTCACTCTGAGCATTTCTTGACTGTCTGCTCTGTGTACATGGTGCCATGAGATAAATAAAGCACAGGGTCCTTGCTCCTGAGCTTTTCTAGGTGGAGAAGGAAAGGTAGAATAAATGTAGTAAACAATTTTGAGGCAGGGTGTTCGTCCTAAGACAAAGTGAAAGCAGGACCTATTATGTGGTTTTAGAATATAGGCTACTAGCCCCCATCATTCATCTGATCAATGGGAAAAAAAAGTATTTATAGTTACACAACTTGTCTCACAAGTCAATGAATTTTTTGTACTGTGTGCGAAGGTAGTATTTGCAGACAATCTAAGGGTTTTTTATGAAATTTAATTTTTTGTTTGTTAATTTTTGTCTTCTCTCTTCAGCCTTCTCCAGAGCTCTGATCAAGATGTTGCAAATAAAGTCAAAGCTGGATTGAAAAGCCTTATTCCCACATTGGAAAAAAGCAAAAACACCAGCAAAGGAATAGAAATGCTACTTGAAAAACTGACTGCCTAGGTAGAAACTGCTAAGAACAAGTTGGAGTCATTTTTCCTCTTCTGTTTTCCCAGTACAGAAAAGAAGGGCTAGGGTCCATCTTACTGGTAATTTGGGTGCTCTGTATATGTGTTTCTTCTTTGTATAAGAATCTATTGATAAAATGATTTCTAAAAATGGCCTTTTTAAGAAAAAAAATCTCAGCCTTCTCTTTTATCATATTGAATAGTAAGCAGATTACAATGTAAAATGTTTAACAGTCATGCACAGTGAGACCAACCAAATTTATATAAAATTTAATTTTATTTAATTGTGCATTGATTCAGGGGAGAAGACATCTTCAGTGAACAGTAGTCTGAGAGGGCTTCATGGAGGAGGAGGAACCTGAGAGTTTCCTGCTTCAGAGGAAGGCAGGATGTGGTAAAGGAGAGCCACGGGGAGTCCTTGGTGGGAGCAGTGAGGTGGCAGTCAGTGGTTTTGAACTGAACTTCAGGAAGGCTTGGGGCTTGTTGGGTACCGTCATGGGGATACTCTGCATCCAGGACAGCTGCATTCCTAGCTGCCTTATGGATTGGGTGCCATGTTAGATTTTATTTGAAACAAGCCACTCCAGGAAGTTAAGATTTTTAGGAGGAAATGTGCTGAATGAATTAGGGGATCATAGTGGGTAGCAGTGTTAAGGTCATTGTCACAGGAGAGATTTTCCTGTCTTTGAAACTGGGCCTTCCAAGTAAATAGCTCCTTGTAGTGAGACTTTCTCTCTTGGGACTTTCCCTGAAGTAGTTGAGGCCTACAGGGTTTGAGTTAGAAGGATATGCAATTTGTTAATAGTGCAGAAGTTGGAATTTAAGTACAAGTAGGATGTTTGAATTTTAAAACTACACTTGGCTTCCAAGCAACAAAGCTTGGAAGGATTGGTGAACCTTGGAAGAGTTCATGGCCAGGCTCATGTAGCCCTGCCTATGAATACCTGACTGCTTTCAAAACCAGGCCTTGGGGCTTCCTCTAAGTAGCCTGATGTCACAGGACACCCACTCAGGTCTGTCACTGCAGTTACACCTCAGGTGAACAGCTGTGCCTTTCCTACCAGACCGCTGCGTCCCAGGACTACTCCCAATGGATGAGCTGCCAGGACGTTACCTGCTGCCCTCTCCTGTGGGTGCATTGAACCCTGCAGGAGCAAAAGAGCCGATGCCTGTAATTCTCTTTTGGCATGGATTCTCCTCCTACCCCCCACCCTGTACCCCGCCCCCCCACCACCACGACCCAGCCAGGTCTAAGGGTAGAGGTGGGACCGTTGGGGGAACTGGGGGTGGTGTGGGAGACAATGGGGAAGAGCTTGCTTTTGTTTGACTGATATATTGTGTGTTTGTTTTCCATATAAAGGGCCCATTTGGAAAGAGAGGGGGACAGAAATTCTGCTGTTTGTTCCATCTGTAAGACTAAAAAAATAACATCCGTAGTTTGGAAAGTTCGAATATTATGAAGCATATAACGAAAGAAGAAATTCTTCTTCTGCCCCACTCCTCCACACCCCTGCCTTGTCCTCCCCAGAAGCAACGACTTTCAGTTCTTTTTAGCTCTGCTAAGTTTTTAAATATATGATTTTTGTGGGTTAAAAAAAAAAAGCTATCCGTTTTAGGCATTTTCTTTTAACTTCCTGTTATGGAAAAATACAGATTGAGACTTCACCACCACTGTCTCCCTACTTCTTTTCTTTCCATTTTCCCAGTAGAATTGCATCATCTTTGATAAATTGATGTTCAGTTTATATGATTATGTTGACGTCAGTTGTTAAATACTGAAGGAAGTAGTGAGTTGTCATGACATTTCCTATACCATTTTTTTTCCTGGAATTAATAAATTGCCTCGTTTATTTTTATTTGCTTACTTTCCTACATTCCTATAATTAATTTTTCTCAAACTGTCCATCAGAATTGCATACACTCTTCTCCAGTAGGCATTTTCCTCTTTTTTCAGCCTGGCAAGGCTCACATGTTATTCTGGGGTCAACCCCTTTCCCGATGGCTCCAGTATGTCCCATCTAGTGTGCCTCCAGTGGGTCATAGATGTGCTGAAATTTTAACAGCTTCAGCCCTTACTCCAACAGGCCATACAAACATTTCCCTTGTGTGGTTCATGCAAAAGATCACTGGTATGAACTAATCCCAGGGGCCCTTTCCTTAAGTCAGTGATGGATTTAGGAAGGAGCCTGGCCAATGGACCTCAGAAGAGAAGTATATTCCTGGGAGAGGTTCCTTTGGTCTCACACCCACAAGGAACAGAGTCCCTTTCCTGCCGGCTGACTTCAGTATATGCAGAAAGCATACTGAGGATGGCTGAGTAAAAGGTTGAAAGAATCTGAAACTTTGATGTTGAACTGCTGAATAAATCAACTCCTGGAGCTGCCCTACCCCTGAACTTCCTGTTATGTGAGAAAATTAACTTTCATTTATCATTGAGGCCATTTTGAGCTGAATCTTTAGAAACTTGAAGCCAAAATTGTGCTAACCTGTCAGTGAATACTGACTTCCACACTATCCACTACATCAGGTCAACTGGCAGACACTTCCGCTGGAGCCACCTGGCTTTCTGGGCGTCCTAAGAACCTGCAGCACAGCCGTCCTCATCCCAGGCCTTCCCTTCATGTCTCCTATGGAGAGCCCATTTGAGGATCCCATGCATTTCATTTTCTTGCTTAACATCCTCTTTTGAATGGGGCACAATCTCTAGTAGCATCCTGAGAAAGAATGCATATGAGGGAAAATTTTAAAGTCTGAATGTCTGTTCTACCCTTTCACACCTGGACACCTAGTTTAGCTGGATATAGAGTTCTAGTTTGAAATTCATTTTGCCTTGGAATTTTGAAGACATTGGTCAATATTTTCTTTGGCTTGCAGAGTTACTATGGAAGTCTAATGCCATTCTTATTCTCAGTCTTTTATATGTGGCCTTTTTGGGGGGGGGGTTTGTGAGGGGTTTCTCTGAAAGGTTTCAGGACTTTTTTTATCCCCAGCCTCCTTGTATTTCAGGATCACGTGCATTGCTATGTGTCATGTGTGTCTGCTCTTTATTCTTCGTGCTGGGTACTTGAGGATTTTAGTCGGAGACGTGAAGCCCTTCCATTTGGGGGCTGTATCTGTATTGTCTCCCTAACCCCCTGCTCCTCCAACCCTATTTTCTCTATTCTTTCTCGTTGAAAGAAATCTGTTTTGCAGATTTCGAATGCTGATTTGATCCTCTAATTTTCTTTTTCAATTCTTTGGCTCTTTGTTTTGCTTTCTGTGTGAGATATTTCCTCCACTTTCTCTGTCAGCCCTTCCGTTGACCTGTTCTTTTCTTGTTTCTTGAATGAAGTATCTCTTAAATCCCTGGGAATGTTGTCTTTTTTGTTTGTTTGTTTTACCTTGCTTTCTCTCCTGTGTCTGCACTTTTTGTTTATTTTGGTCTCTCATGTTTGAGACTTTCTGGGAGAGATCTTTGGCTCTCCTTTGTATACTTAAGACATTTAAAGCTGATCAGAAAGGGGGCAGGCCCTTCTGGACTGTTGACTGCTCGTTACACAGGTGATGAGGTAGGGATGCTCCTGTTTCACTGGAGTCCTCCAGATGTCAGGATCCATGGGCCTTGTGTCTGGGCCATTCTGTGCCTCTAGGGGGAAGTCCACCTGGCAGCCAGAATTCTGGGTGCTCAACACTGTGTGCAGATTTTCATTAACCCACCTGCTTTGAGTACAGCACCTCTCCCTCATGTTCTCGTATGCCTGGGACCCCCTTGTCTGAAGAAATCGAACCACTGTGAGTCCACAAACTAAACTCTCAGCCTTCTGCCAGTGTGTGGAGGGGTAGTCAACCAGTTTTAGCCAATCCTCCTGTTTTCCATCCTAGGCCTCACTCCAGCTTTTCCCAGTACTTAGCACCTCTGCTTGCTGGGATTTTCTGTAGATCAGAGTGAGAATTAACTTGCTCCCCTGCTTATACGTGGTGTTCAGCTTTCTTGGCCCTGATAACTTTCTCCGTGGCTTCCTCTTTTTCCAGATATTTGTTGTTGTTCACTGACGATGACTTCTCTCCTGTTTGTTTCTTTCTTTGTTTTGACTTTCTACCATTTTAATTTATTCTTAGCAGAAATCAACAAATGGTTTTAACCAAATTGAGAACAACCTGCCTGGCTGAATGGAGGATGTATTTTCCATGCAAAAGTTTCCTGCTTTTGAGAATGTCTTTAACTTTAAAATTTAGCTTTTGTAGCTTTCAGATTGCACCCCATGCTTTTCTCAGGGATCGATCTGACGTTGCCTAGAATGAAGGAGAACCTGTTCCCCTTTAAGCCTGGGGTAATATGTGTTTGCCTAATGGAATAAGGCTTCCTGCTTGCCTGAACGCAAAGGATAGGCTCTTTAAAATATGTGATGGCACTTGTTTCTGTTTGCAATGAAATTTTGAAAAGGTTACATCTTATTTATAGCAGATTAGTCACTCTTAAGAGTACATCTTACAAAGACAAGAGTGTGTGTATATTTTTAGAATAATGGTTAAGAGAGTACAGGGTCTCAGAAAAAGCAGCAACAGTTTATACTGAGCCGCTAATCAAACTATTTCTAAAACTAATGAACTTAAATAAGCATAAAAATCTGCCACTTGAACTTTTTTCTCACCTCTGAAACCGTTTAACGTAAGGAAACAGGTTATAATCATCTCCATCTGTTAAGGACTGAATTCATTTTGTCCCCTTCAAGTGTGTGTGTGGGAATCCTAACCGCCACTCCCACTTCTGTACCGTACCTCAGAAAATGACTATCTGCAGATAGAGTCTTTAAAGAGGTAATTAGGGTAAAATGAGGTCTTATGGGTAGGCCCTAGTTCAGTATGACTGGTGTCCTTGTAAGAAGAGATCAGGACACACCTAAAGAGAAGAACATGTGAAGGCAAGAGAGAAGAGGGCCATCCCTAAGCCAGGGAAAGAGGATTCCAAAAGAAACAAACCCTGCTGACACCTTCATCTTGGATTTCCAGCCTCCAAAAGCTGTTTGAGGAGATAAATTGCTGTTGTTTTCGCCGCCCAGTCTGCGGTATTTGTTAGGCAGCCTTAGGAAACTAAGACACCTTTTCTAAATTCAAAACCTCTACCACCACAGTGCCTCCAAATTCCCTACCCTTTTTCCCAGATGAACTCTTAAGGGTTTAAATGAAGTCAACCAGTAGATACGTTATTTGGATTGGTCTTTTCTGAATGGTAACTAAACGGCCCGCTCTGCTCTGCATTCCAGAGTTTGCAAACAGACACTGATTGCTGTGGGCATGTTTGTACCCAAAACAGTGACTTGGAAGATAGTGCCGATGTTTCCACTTGCATCCCTGTGAAGGAGTGGTGTTTGGAATCTTTCATCAAAATGATTTCTAATGTTTAAACATGGCCTCATGCCCATTGCTGAATGTAAGTGGACGAAGAGAGCTCCAAAAACATGGTAATGAGAAATTTTGGTCCATGCTGTCTTGTTTTTAGGGGAATTAATTCTATCTTGGGGAAAATGATTAGTTCTTCGTTGTGCCGATATGTGATAGCACTTAAGTGGAAGGTGATAGAAATCTGGTAAGGTTATGAGAATCATCTGACTGTGCTCTTGATGACTATAATTAAGCATAATGAATAATTTAGGTATTTTAAATGACTTCCAGATGCTTGAAAACAGACTTTGCTTTTAGATAGAAATCCTCTTGCATTTAAAACTCATGTTCTTATTGATAAACCTGCCAGTGAACACATTGACTTGCTGCTGTTACATTCCACAGTAGACAGTGATAGAAAGAATGAACATGATTTTTAAAGACCTGTGTAACAGCAAGGAAGTGCTTTTGAGGAAATGGACAAGTCTTGGGTGTTATTTTTCTTGCCCAATCAACTATTCTGCCCCATCTGTATTGCTTAATACTTAAATCTAGCTCTAAACATAGATGTGTTGAAACCCGTTGCATCTGCGTGTAATGTAACCTGGTGGACGTGTGTTTTGGTCTGGCTGGCGCCTCTTTGGGGGCTCCCCTCGTCTCACGTTTCAGTCGTCCCGTTTGTGTAGGGTGAGCCCATCATGACCTGCCTTCATCAGATGCACGTGACCCAGGGCTCCCAAATCACAGCACCATTCACTTGGCCACGGTGTTTAGTTAATGGGTAAAGTGCGCCTTTTAACAAATAGCATCAAATCAGAATCTGGCATGGGACCAAAACAAGAGCATTTAGAGCTCTGGGGCTTCACTGGATCGCTGTGAGGTTTAACTCAACTTCAATTGAGTTTACATGTGAAAAGGACCTAGAACTGGGCCTGAATACACAGGTTGGGGCTCAGTCCCAGGGCCAGGCTTTCTAATGGCCAGGTAGAATCATGGGAGATTTGGAGATTGCTGGAAAGCTTTGTTGTCACAAAGCCGTGACTTGGAAGTCAGAGTTCCCATTGTTGAGTTTTTTTGACATCAAACATTTCAGCAACCCTTGCCCCAAAATGCAGTATTACACTTGCACTTTTGAGTTTGTATTGGCTAAGAAATCACATAGGAAGGTCCATGAATTCATTACCACTTTTAAATACATAATTTACAATCAATTTAAAGCAGCTGTGTACCTTTGAAAAGGCTTCACTCCATTTGTAGCTAGGGGTTGGGGCAAGGTAGGGTCTGCAGGCCCCCTGCAGTCTCTTCTGCCCACAGGTTAGGAAGCAAGGGTGAAAGCACTTGAGCCCAAATTGGCTGTTTTTTAAATGCAAATAACCCTGATAGGAACAGCACCTTTAGCTGTAGCCCGTGGTTAACACCTTCCTTTAAAGTCTATCAACTTTTCGGGTAGAATGCTGAGAGCTAGGCAGCTTGGAGAGGGAGTTGTTTCCTTGGGAAGGAGCAAGGGGTAATTTGAGGTCATTCACCTGGGCCAAAAAGCCTAGGAACAGCAGAGAAGTCCAGGGTTTCAACTTGCTTAGTGGTCTTGTCATGCAGAGATGGGTGTGAGTCAGCACCGGGAGACACTGGGCCAACTCCAGGTGATTGCTTTGTAGAGGAAGTTGCCTTGGATTTGTTTGAGAAGCTTGGACCCAGCGTGGGTTCTGCCCCTTACTAGGCAGGTGATTTTGGTCCTCAGTTTTCTCATCTACAAAACAAGCCACCTGCTTCACGTTCCCTCAATTAGTAGACTTCTTTAAACAAGAACATTCACTACAAATGGGAGGGTTTTTTTTGTTTTTTTTTTTTTCTGCGGTACGTGGGCCTCTCGCTGCTGTGGCCTCTCTCGTTGCGGAGCACAGGCTCCGGACGCGCAGGCTCAGCGGCCATGGCTCACGGGCCTAGCCGCTCCGCACCATGTGGGATCTTCCCGGACTGGGGCACAAACCCGTGTCCCCTGCATCGGCAGGCGGACTCTCAACCACTGCGCCACCAGGGAAGCCCCTGGGAGGGGTTTTTGAGAGCAGTACCGCAGTGAAAAGCACTTGGAGTGTGTTTTCAGAAGATCTGGCTTTGAAGCGCGGCCCTGAGTCTGACCAGGAATGTGAGTCACAATCTTTAGAAACTTCTGTTTTCTTATTTATAAAAATAGAGATAGTACCTGAAAATTTCAGAGGGTTGAGGTCAGAATCAAATGAGATTGTGTATGTGAAGATGCCTTGTAAAACTTTGTAGGTGTTCATGATTCCCGAGATAGGTTGGATATTCCTTGCCTTGTTTGGTTCCCAAGTCACAGGGTTGCAGTGTGCCGGGGACTCGGCCAGAGGTGCAGGGTGGAAGAAGGGGAGAAAGGACCTTCTCCAGGGGAAGAACCTTCGGTGACTTAAGTTAATACAAGGAGTACACAGCTCTCCTCCACCAGGATTGTGGGGGGACAGGCATGTCCTGACTCACCTTAGAAGCAGGTAATACGTGGTACTTTGATTCTACAGTACAACAAATCATGCATTTGGGATAAGGTGAGAGCTCAGCAAACGGCGTTTGAGGCCTGGCCTGGCCTGGGAATCGAAGGATTAGTATGGTAGAATGAAAGGAGCTTGGGATAGATGTGAGTTCTAACCCGCAACCCACCAGTAGATCAGGTGGTTTCTAGATGGGATGCTCCAAGTCCCAGCTTGCCCTGAGATGCCTTGGGGAGCAGCACTGTGGTAGGAGGTGGGGGCAGAGCCGATGGGGCTCTTGACCAGCCACCTAGGCTCCAGTGAGAGCAGCCCCGCTAATATCTGTTTAACACGTTCAGATTTGGAGTTAGGTTTCTTTTTGTAACAGGGTTCTGCTGTTAAAAACAAACAAAAAGCTAGAAAACCACTGAGATTGCAATCTCCTGCACGGTGTCCTCAGTGCTGCATGCAGTCAGCAAGCTGGGCCAGAAGGGAGGCATTAGACTGCGAGCAGATTTCCTGTGAAGCCACGAGGCTTAAGCATCTGGGCCGCTTGCTTGCTTGGCATTCCAAAGCCTGCTACATCATTTTGTATTCATACTTTAATTTTTTCTTAAGGGGAGATCCTAAATTGTACAGGCTTTAGGCCCCACGAATCCTGGATCCCTTGCGTTAGACGCAAGCTTCTTTTTTTTTTAGAAATTTATTTTTAATTTATTTATTACTTTTGGCTGTGTTGGGTCTTTGTTGCTGTGCTGTGGGCTTTCTCTAGTTGTGGCAAGCAGGGGCTACTCTTCGTTGTGGTTCCCAGGCTTCTTATTGCGGTGGCTTCTCTTGCGGAGCACGGGCTCTAGGCACGTGGGATTCAGTGGCTGTGGTGCACGGGCTTAGTTGCTTGTTCCACAGCATGTGGGATCTTCCCGGACCCGGGCTCGAACCCATGTCCCCTGCATTGGCAGGCGGATTCTTAACCACTGTGCCACCGGGGAAGCCCAAGACGCAAGCTTCTTAATGTACCGACATCACTACACACCCGTCCTAGTGAACTGAACGTGCACCCTTAGAAAGAACAAACCAGCCATTTGGAATGGGGTGGGTGTTGCTTTGCAAGCTCAACTTTATTAAGTGATGGCAAATCCAGTGCTGTATTATTCCTGCTAAATAAGAATGGATATATAATATTGGTTATTGCTCATCTTCTTTCTTCTCCTCCACCAGCATTATTATCAGAGTAGCATAGCTTTGAGGCTAAGAACGCATACTGTGTAACGATTCCCCATAGAATACTGTCATGTGATGTATTGAACACAGTGCCTGGACATGAAAAGCGCTCATAAGTTTTCGTTTTCCTTATTATCATCATTGGGTGATTAGTCGAGATAGAAACAACTAGTTTCCTATCTCAGTACCTCAGAAACAGAACGCCAGTTTTTGGTTGGGTGGACTGCCCAACTCAAAAACATTTCCGCCTTGTTCACAGAAAAGTTTTTTTGCCAATGAGATGTAAGAATAAATGTATTCATGCAGGAAGTCACGTTAAAGGAGAAAGAGTGCCCTCCTCTGGTCTTTTCTTTCTCTCACTCCTTTGAACTTAGATGTGATGGCTGGAACTTCAGCATCTGTATTGGAGCATGTGGACAAGGTTTTTACCTTATAGGTGTGTGAGCAGAAGGGAGCCTGTGTCCCTGCCAGCTTCATGGAGTTGCTACATTAACCTTGGACTATCAGCTCTCAAATGCTTTTATAAAGGCAGGGTTCTCAAATCACTTGGATGGCTTGTTAAAACAGATTTCTAGGCCCTACCCCAAAAGTCTCTGATTCAGTAGATAATGGTTTGGAGCCAAAGAGTCTGCATTTTTAATAAGTTCCCAGGTGATACGGATTGTGCTGGTCCCAGAACCATGTTTTGAAAGCCAAGGTTTTACGCATTTAGGGAAATAAACTTTTCTTGTTTAAGGGGTTAAACAAGATTTGGGGCTATTTTGTTATTAAAGTTGCGTCTTACACATTATTTAACTTTAGTAAGTAACTCTTCTTGCTCTGCTGAGTGTTGAGGAGCAGCAACACGACTAAAATGCCCCTCAGAGCGAAGCAGAGAGATGGGATGAACTGCACAAGGAGTTTTGGGCCTCTGCATCATTCATGTCAGATGGGTACTGAGCACCTGGTATGTGCTAGGCATGTACAGAAATAACTGAGACGTGGTCATGATTAACAGTGATTAACCTGATTAACCTCCAGGATTTAACAGCTGATACTCATGTGGAAGTCCCGTTGAATCAGACTCATTATAACCAGTGTCTGCAAGAGAGTGATGAAATGAGCAAATGACTTCTCATCATTTGATTAGTCTGGAAACGGGTAGGGGCACAGGGCTGGAGGGAGGGGTCCTTAGAGGCCATCAGAGGCAGTGGTAATCACCTTACCTGCACGTCGGAATCACCTAGGGAGCTTTAAAATACTGATGCCTGGGCCCCGTTTCCAGGGATTCTGATTTGACTGGTCTGGGGTGGAGCCAGGGTACTGAATTGTTGAAAGTTCCTGTGGTGATTTTAATAGGTTGAATAAGGCTGAGCTAAACCAACTCAGAGAGATGAGGTGCCGGCCCCAAGGTGGCATAGAGGGTCAGAGGCAGGCCCCCTGCTATCCAGGAGTGCTCGTCAGATGTGTGGCTGGCCCTAGAAACCTGCTCGAGGCCAGGTACACGGCCAGGTTAATTCCCCTTCGCCTTTAATTGTCCGTGACATAGGATGTGTGGTGCTGTAAGCGTGCATCTGCTCCCAGCTCGGTGACAGAGAGCTCGCTGCAACTCATCAGTTTCGCTAACAAGATTTTCCTTGGTGACAGCAGAACAGATCATTTTAATTAGCATTAGATAATGAATTTAAGAGCATTGAAGTAGTTCCAAAATCTCCCTTAACTTCCCTAAATAACATCATCCAGGAAGTACTCTAGTGGGATTTATTGTTGAGAAATATCTGTGGTAAGGACACAGCAGATGAGTCTCATTGCATGGGATTATTTTCCCTGGTTTTACTTTGAACATACAGACAGAACCACCGGCTGTCAGAGCTGCAGGGACTGAAATGTCTTCTGATGTCCTCATCCCTTATCGGGTTTGCACATCTCCTTGTCCAGTTGTCCCCATGAGTTGGCTGTGACCCTGAACTTAGACCTGCTAGTAACAGGGAGTTCATCCCCAATCTCCTGAGAAGCCCCTTCCACTCAGAAAGTCCTTCCTTACACTCAGCTGAGAAGGACCCCTATAACTTCCCCCCTTGATCAATTCTGCTTTCTGGGAATTCACTCCCTGCCCTTTACCACCGGGGGAGCAGGACAACATCTCTGGGGGCATCTTAAGGGATTTGAATAGATGTTGTGTTGGGGATGAATACTGCTGCCATTGGCCTCTGACTGAAGGGGCTGGGAAAAAATGCATTGTCCTTTCTGCCCTGAAAGAGCTTGCAAGGGGATTTGCCCTCTCTCTAAAGTTCTGTGAAATTGGCAGTGGATATTTTTGATTCACATCTGTCTCAAAGAAAAAAGGAAAAGAAAAATCTCGGCAAACTTGTAAGCCGTTAGGCATGGGAGTGCACATCTTGTTATTACGGTGCTAGTGTCTCCTGGGTCATATTCTGATTGATTTAGAAAGAGGGTGTCTGTTTTCCTTTCCGAATTGGCCTGACCCCACTGTGGAGAAGCTGTTGCGTCCCTAGACCTTAGCTGCTCTCTGGTAACCTGAATCAGTAATGTGAAATTGCATGAGCCAAAGACTCTCAGATTCCAGTTTTCTTGGCTCTTTTTTTTTGTTTTTTAATTTATTTTTGGCTGCACTGGGTCTTCACACGGGCTTTCTCTAGTTGTGGCCAGCAGGGGCTGCTCTTCGTTGTGGTGCGTGGGCTTCTCGTTGCGGAGGCTTCTCTTGTTGCGGAGCACGGGCTCTCGGCGCACGGGCTTCAGTAGTTGTGGCACGCGGGCTCAGCAGTTGTGGCGCCCAGGCTCTAGAGCACAGGCTCAGTAGTTGTGGCGCATGGGCTTAGTTGCTCCGCAGCATGTGGGATCTTCCCGGACCAGGGCTTGAACCAGTGTCCCCTGCATTGGCAGACAGATTCTTAACCACTGCGCCACCAGGGAAGCCCCCTTGCCTCTTTTAAACATAAATTTTGTAAAGTAAGATAATACAAGACTATTGCCTATTGGCTTTTCTATGGGCCAAAATAAAAGTATTAATTTTGTTAAGTCTGTAGTTTAAAAAAGTAGACTTTTGGAGGTATTAGAGAATTATTGTTAGATGTACTGTACAATCACATCCCATGTTTAAGTTAACGCTTGCTCTGACACCAACTAGA